CATGCTAAAAAACAAGAATGAAATAAAAAATTACACCTTTCGTTGCATCGTCATCAGAAGACTGGTGCAACGGAAGAAGTAAATAAATCAGCCTGTTTCTGAACCAATAAAGAGACAAATTTTAAATCTTAGAATAATTTTAGAAAAATAATCAAAGTAATCTGTGTTTTCATCAGTAAAGTCCTACAAGCCCAAGTAAGGAATCTAAAAATTGCATAATCATAGCATCAGAATTATAAACAATTTGAGCAGACCGTTCCTAACAAACATAACATAAAAATATAAATAATCCAATAATGAAAAAATAAAGACATATGTAAGTTTTGAAATCACAGAGGTCAGGTAAAAAATTTTTAAATATGTATATTTATTATTAAAATCATAAGCAAGCAAAAAAAGCTTCAAAATTTTTCAATTTACGTAGACCGAGTACAAGAAATCATGTAAAATAGAAGCGATCCAACATATGAAAAACTAATAATTGATAATTTCATCTAAAAATTAAAAGTAAAGATAAGAAATTTAAAGAAAAGTTAGTTCTTAAAATCTGTAACGTTATAGCAACGGCAGTTTTGAAAGGAAAAGTAATATTCGTCCTGTCTTATTAGCAAAATACTGTTGATAAGCCCAAAATGGGCTAAAAGAGGAATTTAGATTAACTCTAAATTTTAAATTGAGAATACCTAAATAACAATATATAGATATTGCTATATACACTGGTGTGCAAAAATTAAGGACGAAAGTCGAAAAATTAGCATATCAGCTGAACGAAGAGGCAGAGCGGACAGAAAGACCAATCAGGAGATTAAGTAAGGTGATGTACGGTAGCACATGCGCAGATATGCAGGTAGACGTAATGGGGGAGTCTCTGAGTAGTATAAAGCATGTTGTCGGTGTAAGATCAGTATTTCTGGCAAAGGGATTGCACGCCGTATAGCTTAAAATCACACCGAGTTACTGCCTCAGCGAGAAATGGCGAATAATCAATCTGTTAGACGACATTTGGATGCTTTTACCCGAGGTCGAATCATTGGGAAGTTGGAGGAAGGCCGCAGAGTGACAAGTGTGGCTGCAGAGTTCGGAATTGCTCACAGCATCGGCATCGTTTCACGACTTTGGAGACAATTTCAAACTACAGGAACAGCTATCCGGGGGTTTAGTAGTGGTCGTCCACGAGGAACCACACCCGCAGATGACCGGTATATTGCCTTATAGGCCAGGAGAAACAGGCGACAAACAGCGGGAGAAATCGCTAGACACACGACACAGGTGACTGGACGACCGATATCGCGTTTTACAGAGGCCAGAAGACTGCACGATGGTGGTCTGTTTGCACGACGCCCTGTACGGTGTGTACCTCTAACGCCTGCCCATCGGAGAAGGCGTTCTCTGTGGTGCCGGGAACACCGGAATTGGAGAGACAATGAATGGGGACGAGTACTCTTTACAGATGAGAGCAGATTAAGTCTGAGTAGCGATTCTCATCGCATACTCATCTGGAGAGAGCGGGGAAGCCGCAATCATCCCTCGAACATCATTGAAAGGGACAGGTATGGAGGTGGCAGTGTTCTCGTTTGGGGAGGCATCATGCTTGGTAGTCGTACAGACCTTCACATCTTCGACGCAGGTTCAGTCAACGGGACCCGTTATGGTAACGAGATTCTTCTTCCATATGTGCGTTTTTTTAGAGACGCTATGGGTCCACAGTTCCTTTTCATGGACGACAATGCACCATGTCATCGCACAATAGCTGCCGAACAGCTCTTAGAGAGTGAGGATATTGAACGTATGGATTGGCGGGCACGATCCGGATCTCAATCCCATTGAGCATATATGGGATTTTCTAGGCAGACGCTTGGCAGCTCGTACCTTACCACCAGTAACGATTCCGAAGCTTCGATTGGCGCTGCAAGACGAATGGGCAGCAATGCCTCAACAACTCATCGACACCCTCATTCTCAGCATGGGTAGACGCTGTGAAACCTGCCTAGCAGTCAGGGGAGATTATATCCCCTATTAAAGACCAGATTTTTCTTGCTGGACACCCATCACAGGGATGTTTCGGCCTTCAGTCGCCTTGCGCTCCATGCTACTTTTTCAATAAAGCTTCTTTTTATCCCTCTGATTTCTCTTTTAGTAAGTGTTGCTTACATTACTTATGTCCTTACGTATTGGGGATCTTACGGTATTAAATGTGTTGATTTGGAAAGCTTTTGTACAAAGTTATATTGAAAAAACCGTCTCGTCCTTAATTTTTGCACACCAGTGTATATATATGAATGATTTTAGCTTTTTTGAACAATTACTTTCCAGCCAAGGCTTTTTAGTTTTGCCAATGAAGCCAAAATGGCAAACCTGTACGTACCTTACGGTTTCTCATCTAATGTTTAGACAGGAGTCTAATGAGAGTGATGGAAGTTCTTATTTACTTTTTGTGCGTTCTAAATAAGTTTTTTATGAGTTCACTCACATCTTAATTCATTGGATTAAATGTAAACATTTTGATTTAAAATTTTTCACTGAAGTATTTTGTTTTTCACTTTCGTGTTCAATTCTTTTAAAAGGGTAGAATTCTCTTTATTTAAGATTACTCTAATTATTCTAATTAAAATTTACTTTGTTTTTTTCTTTACTTTGGGAAAGGGCCAGAATTTTCGGGTGAACTATTATAATTATAATTAAAATACATTGGAATGGTTCATCGGCTAATTCTGGATACAGAAAAGAAAGCATTTTTGTAGAAGAGAGATTTCAATTAATTTCAAAGTTCCTGCCCTCTGATGAAGTGACATTAAGGTTGATTGAATACCTCTTCTGTTTTTGTTTAAAAAAATTATGAAATTTAAAGAAAAATGAACAAAAACAGAAGAGGAATTCAATTACTCTCAATGTCACTTCATCAGGGGGGAGGGACATTGAAATTAATTGAAATCTCTCTTCTACAAAAATCCTTGCTTTTCTCTATCCAGAATTAGCCGATGAACCATTTCAATGTATTTAAATTATTTGAAATTTAATGAATTTCAATTTCTGGTCTTTGAGAAACATTAGTTCTAAATTTCTTACATTATATATACATATATATACAGTGGTGGCCAAAATTGTGGACACTTTTGAAAATTTTTATGTTTTTGAACTTTGTATGCTTATAGAAAACGTTACGTTTCACAAAATGCAAACTTGTATATATCATTTTAAAGAGAATTTATTACTGAATTCAATACAAAACACAAAATTCAATTATTTGCAATACAAAAAAAGTTAAACGATAATAGTTATCGATATACATTAGATAGTGATGATTGCAGTGAGTTATCAGTACTTAGTAGGGTACCCTTTATTTTTGATTACAGCTTCACATCGACGTTTCATTGAGCTGACAAGAGTTTTAAGCTCTTCTCTCGTTATTACATGATGCCAGGAAACAATTATGGCCTCAATTAGTTCCCTTTTATTTGATGGGCGCCTCATTCGGACAAGAGTTTTCAAACGGTGCCACAAATTTTCGATAGGATTGAGGTCAGGACTGTTTCCTGGCCATGACAACAATTTAATGCTCTTTGTACGAAACCACTCTTTCGATATTTTGGCCGTGTGGCAAGGAGCAGAATCCTGCTGAAAAATAAACGAAGCATTGTTGGAAAAGAGATCTCTGATGGAAGGTAGAAGTTTTGGTTCTAGAATAGTGTCAATGTATTTTCTGGCATTCAGTGTCCCATCGATGACATGAAGGCGACCAATACCATCTGCTGACATGCATGACCAAATCATAACACTAACTGGGTTCTTCACAGTTGCTTGAATGCAGTCAGGATGTAGCTCTTCTCCTATTCTACGTCTTACATATTTTCGCCCATCACTACCGAATAACGATATCTTAGTTTCATCACTCCATATAACTTGTGACCACTGATCATCTGTCCAATTAATGTGTTCCTTTGCCCACTGTAGTCTTTTTTTTTTTTTTTTTTTTTTTTTTTTCGTTGCTGAAAATTAAGATAAGGCTTTTTTTTCGTGGAATTCTCTACCTCTCAGTCCAACATCTGTTAATCTTCTCCTGATTGTTCTTGAACTGACAGAAACACCAGCATCATTCAGATCACTTCTGATGGCCGCTGATGACATTTTTCTATCTTGGAGACATAGTCGTTTTATTCTTCTGTCATCAATAGATGTGGTGCACCTTTTTCGGCCTTTTCCTTCTTTGTTTTTTATTGAATTTGTCTCCTGATATCGTAAACAAAACTTTCGGACTCCAGATGTAGTCACTGAACCACCCACCTGTCTTACAATTTCAGCATAGGAAAGACCACTTTCTCGTAACACAATAATATTACATCTCTTTCTAGGTGTCCAATCTACTCTTTTATTTGATGTCATTGCTTCTTGACTAAATATTAAAAATTTTTACAAAAATTCCTACTTGTAATGCAGTGTATAAGAAACAGGTCCTCCTTCTACAGAACAAAGCAAAATAATGAATTGTTTCAAGTGTAAACATGATGTCAGCTTCTACTGGCAGTTACTAACATTTGATTGTTTTTCAGAACAAGAACAGTGATTGCCCAGGAAAGCTAGACATTACAAAACACTTCATAACTGTATTTTTTATTTATATTAAAGTACATACAACTTTTTGTATTGCAAATAATTGAATTTTGTGTTTTGTATTGAATTCAGTAATAAATTCCCTTTAAAATGATATATACAAGTTTACATTTTGCGAAACGTAACATTTTCTATAAGCATATAAAGTTCAAAAACATAAAAATTTCCAAAAGTGTCCACAATTTTGACCACCACTGTATATATGTGTAGGGATTAGAAAAGTAGATGCATTTCAATTTATAAAAAATACGAAAGAACTAACAAATTTGTATATATATATATATATAGGGAGATATTATTGGCTTAAGTATATTTAATTTATGCATATCGTTTTAAAACATAAATTGGCTCGTTTTCAAATTCTGAGAGAATTAAACAAGATGAAAGAATACCTCTTCTATTCCAGAATGGTCGGGTTTATTTCTTACATCTAAACTTAAACGAGAATTGCACCTGTCTGCCCTCTGAATTTTGGTATGAAGATCTGATATTTCTTTTGAAATTGTGCTATTTTCTGCTTCACGATCAGCTATAATATCTTGCAACTCCTTTGAAAAGTTCTGTTTCTCATCCACTTTTTCTTGCATACTTTTAACATCGTCTTCTAGCGATCTGAGATGAGTTTTATGTAAATGCATTTGAACAGCAAGACTTTGCTTCTCTCTCTCTGTATTTTTCAGCAATTCATTATCTTCTGCTAAAAAAAAAAAACGCTAATACGTAATTATGACAAACTTTAAAGCCTGCTTTTTATACATTTGAAAATGAAATCAAAATGAGCAAATATTATTTAAATATGTATTTTTTCCTCTACTTCTGGTTTTTATAGTTCCTTTTGACGATATAAAGTTTTTTTCCTCACGGAACAATAAACTAAAGGAAACAAAAAATTTATTGAGATTAATAGACATTTTTGGGTCAAGAAACTTGAAAAATCAGCTGCACTTTTCCTGGGATTCGAAGTACGGATCTTTCAGTTTGCTAACTAGACATGCTTACATTGCAGCGGTGTGCAAGAACTATGATAATTCCGTATATTTTCTCGCACTTGAAGAATAAGGTAAAAGCACGAGACTTAGTCCGCAAAATCCAGATAATGGCGGATTATTTTCCTTCTCATTTTATTTCGAGCGCAATTATAGAAACCATTACATATTTCGGACAGCGAATTCTGCAAACGGGCTATTCGCTGACCGAACTACCAGTGTTCAGCGATTTTACCACTCGACCGCGGTTAGGCCTTGTCTTTCTAAAGGAAACCGGCTCGTATTCACGTTATACTTCGGAAGAAGAATAAATGTATCCCTGTGCACCGATATTCCAAACCGGGTCAAGTTACCTAACATTTTGTCTTATCCACTCGGTTACTGGGGATCCAAGCATATAATTGTTCATAAAAACATAAAATTTCATTTTTATGAATTATTTTTTTACAAAGTTATATTTTACTTAGCTTCTATTTTATTTGGATAAAATCTTGAAACCAATTTTTGAATCTTTTGCAAAATGGACTTTGTTGAAAATTTTCACATGCGTATCTGCGATATCAGTGCAATATCACACGCAGAAATGTTTCAAAATTTGAGGTAGGTTAAAGAAAAAAGAAATAGTATTGATACTTTCTCTCTCATCCTTATTTTTATCGTTGCAGAATTTCGATCTTTGTACCATTAGATAGATCGAGAAATAGTACTTCAAATAAAAAGCTTTATAGATTTTAAATAGTTTATCAAATTCTAGCGGTTTTTCAAAAACCATTCAGTTATTTTATTATCGCATAGTTGGTAAAAATGACGGATTTCTGAATCGTAAAGATTAAATCCTCCGTTGTTAGCAGCTGTATAATTTTAAGTTACGCAAAAATTTTAATTAGTATGCATTTAAATTGGCTATTAATTATGTTCAGGGATAGGGAGTTGGAACAAATTGCCGCATCTTAAAATAAATATTCCAAATTTATTTTTTTAGATTTTTCCTTTGAAGTGAAGGCAGTGGGTTAGAGAGATTATTTTGAGTAACTCATGTGTTCTCAAAGAAGTCAGCAGTTAATTTTACGCATTAAATTTTAGTTTAAAGCAGTTAATTATGCGCATTAAATTTTAGTTGAAATAAAACAGATCTTATTATAGGATAAAAGTAAGTACAACTTAAAAAGAAATAGTTTCAAAACTAAAATTGAATTTTTATCTTAAAGACACACATATACAGGGTGGTTCAAAAATATCTAGCTAAAATGTACGGGCAGATAACAGAGATCAAAATACGCAGATTTCAATATAACCTAGTCCATCATTTCTCAAAATGCATTTCGAGGAGATACAGGACATTATTGGGCGATAGGCAAAAGCGTTTTAATACAGAACTCATCATTAGCATGCATATTTTGAGCGATATGCATCTATACACGAACATAGAATTCACCAATATGAATTTTATCTGTGGGAGTGAGATTAAAATGGAGCAGCCGTCTAAAGAAGCACTAAGAATGATTCCCAAGTAGCTCCTTTGAGCAACTACTCAATTTCCATCCGCAGCCCTGTAGATATAATGTACATCAGCAAGCTCCACTTTCGTGCAGTTAAATGCGAACCACTACTATTCCGCATGGGAAGTAACAAATTACGCCAGGAAAGCTTCTCCTACTGCTCAACAGCTGCCTATACCACCTCGGCACAGAGGTGGTACAGGTACCATTTCGGCACACATATTCCAAAATCTGGTTATTTCAGTTACGTCTATCTCTCTTTACATTTTTGGCCGATATTTTTTAATCACCCTGTATATATTATAATATAAAATTTAGTTAGCGATCAACTTTGATCATTGTTTAACAGGAATATGTCCCTTTCATCAAAGGCGTAGCTAGGGTTTTCAGCGTCCCGGGACAACTGAAGATTTTGCGGCCCTTTCTGTGTGAACGGAATTAAAAGTTTTTGGCAGGTTTTGCTGATTAATGCTACTTTCACTCTCCTTAAACGAATTTAGATTTATTTAAGGGGACGTACTGGGGAAACGATGTAGTACCAGGGTGCCTAGGTTCAGGACTCTACCCCTTGTAGAACAGATATGTTATTTCGAATACTGTCATGAGTAACTAGTATATATTTAGAATTATATAGATAATTAAATCATGTTTTTTAAAATTTTTTATAAGAATAGATATAAGATAAGAGATAAATTAAAAGATAATTTTGAAAACGACTAAAGTGTGCGTCAAGTTTCAATAAACCTGAAATGCTATCTGGGAAAGCCTAGAAAGGAGGAATGGGCTGGCTATAGCCTGATGCAGAAAAAAACATTTATAACATACATATAAATAATAGGCCAAGTAGTGTGAGTTTCTTGGTGCGCTAGTAATAATTAAATCTTAAATCGACAACACAATATTAAGAGGTACATAACAGATTAAATACGTTATACAATATGGGTACTAAGTATGGCCATAGATTGTTTACTATTATTTGGGTCATTAAAGTCGTAATCGTAAATCCTTATTAACTGGGCATTTGTTTAAGGAGAGTGAAAGTGCACCTCCCTGCATCGCCCTGGCTATGTCCAAGTCGCTAGAACGTAATATTGACGTTCGTTACTGGCGTTATAATGGATGTATGCCAATACACTGATATTTTAAAATTAATTTTGAAATCATTGGTACAAAAACCGAATCTTCAAATAATTCCCAACTCTACTAATATACTGACTTCAGATGGCTTGTTGTAAATATACGATTCTGATTGCTGTTTAATATTCCTGAAATATTCAAAACACGTTCTCAATGTCTATCCAATCAAACGTAATTAGCAGAAAAAAAAGGGGGGGTTATAAAATTAATTAAAAAAACAACACTTTTGAACAATAATTACTAATAGCTAAAGTACACTACAGTAGAGAAAACTTAGGTTAGAAATACCGATAAATCTAGCAGAACTTGTAAGGTATTTCTCCGGAGATAAAAATGTTTTTTCAGTACAACGTTGCCATTGCCCGCTTTGAAATCCTTAACTTTGTTAATAAAAAATTCGCTAAATTTTTACAAAGTAAATCAATGTTACAAAGTAAATAAATATTACAATCGATAATAAAACAAATTCCAAATTTAGGCTTCCAGATGCGCATATTTGCAGTAGGATTACGTCATTCAAAATTGGATGGCTCTAGGTACCGTTGTTTTTCGCACAGTGCGAGAAACATACATACATTCATGCAGATTCTTCATTATTTAATTTCTTTAAATATAATGCAGGGATCTAATATTTGGTGGCAACAGTTTGAAAAGTGAAACTCCGTTTATAGCGAAGCAACGCAAAATGCCATAACAAAATTAATAGCCCTTCTAGGCATATTGCCTCTTTGGGCTAATAAATAATTAAATAATTGAATAGTAAAACTTACAGCTTATTCCAGGCGGGTATAATGCTTGACGAAATTGCTCATTGGCAGCATCGATTAGCCACAGAGTATTCTTTAAAGCTGTAAGCTCTTCTTCATTTTTTAAAACAACGGATATCATCTTATCTCTTTCATATTGGAGATCTTTTTTTTCTTCTTCAGCCTATGATCGATTAATATAGACATCAATAATTTTATTTTTTTAAAATCAAAAGATTACATATAGAAACAAAAAATTCTTAAGATATTTAATATTTTGAAAGACTGCGCACATAAAATTAAACGGATAAAATTGTAAATATGTAATAATAATGTTATAAGATTACATGCAAATACTTTCAGAGATAATAAAAATCAAGATAAATCAGGACAGATTTTAAAAAAAGTTAAATAAATTATATCAAAGAATTATTCACATAATTAAAAATTTGAATTCATTTCGTTGATACAGCCAAAATTTATCGTCTGAATGAAAATGTCAACTTATAATTTAAACCTAAAAATCGCTATAACTACTATAATTTCAGCAGGATTCCCTCTCTTACCATGATTTTATTCAGTGCAAAAATTAGTTTCAGGAGAATGCTATTAGAATGACCTGGCCAAAAATCCTGACCTAAGTCCAGTCAAAATTCTTTGGAAACTATCATAGAAGATTATTAGTTAGAAGAAACAGTAAAATAAAGTACAGTTAACAAAAGCAGTTGCACTATCATGATATATATCTTATTACAATGCTCGATGAATTGAAATCTTTGGTTCACCTACTGGGACTTTACTGGTTGTAATTACACTAAAAGACTTCACAATAAAATGCGATAGGTAATTGTGGGAAACTTAGAAATTTTCTTTTTCACAGTTCAGTAGGCATAACGTTTACGAAAATGTTAAATTATAACGCAAAGTGCTCTTATTAAGCTCTAAATTAAATTTTATTGTATTTTTTAATGAGATACATTCCGATGACCTCAGAGATCACGTGACTTATGTGCAGCTAATGCAAACAAGCAAGGTCATTCTTCCTCTTCTTCTCTTGCGGAATGTATCTCATTCAGAAAACCAATGCAAAACTCCTCGTGTTTCGCGAAGCATTTCACGAGGCTTACTGATGTAAGTAAATAACTCATAGTACAAGGAAATACAATACAACACTAAAAACATAAGTCTAGGTCTGGAGAGAGATAAGAAAAAGTATAAAATACAAATACCATTATAATAAAAATACTAGAATATACCATGAATAATATATACTCCTGTTAAAGAAAACAAACCGACTTGATAATAATATAATAATAATAATAATGAAATAATACTTAAAAATAATACTGATACAAAGAAAAAATCTGATGTGTACACCACGACTTCCTTGTACGGAATATTAAATTATACGCATTTGTTTCTTGCATTTCTTTTAAACTTATTGGATTTAATTAAATCTACTTCGCCGACAGCGCATAAACCACAATAGAATAAAGGCATTCTTTAAAATTAACTCTATTTGTTTAACATAGCGACACTCTGGCACTAGGTTCACTTAACAGTATTATATTTCATTCATATTATAACTCAGGATGCACAAAATGTATATCATTTAAAGAATTATCTAATCGTTGCCACATGTTCTTTTCAAATACTATAATAAAGCTAGAACGATGTAAAAAAGAAATTGAGCAAATAAAACAAAAGAGAAAGAGTTTTTCACAGACGATTGAGTATTTCTCATTCAATTAATTCTGTTTTCACTTCGCGACAAGACAAAAATACATAAAAGCTCAAAATATCTGTATTAAAAATTACTAATTATTAAAAATTAAATTACTAATTATTAAAAATTAAGTAAATCTTAAACACTTATTTCCTCGAAAAAATTCCAGAAAGGATTAAGCATGATTTAATACGTAATAATAAATTAAGGCAACAACATAATTCAATCATTTTTAAAGCAAAAAATGTACAATTTACAAACATATAAGAGTAAAGAAACTGAGATTACTGTGTCGAGTAACAAAGTAGATATATATATATATATATAAATATAGTATTTATATACGTTTGGTGCGGCCGATTGCAACCAAAATACGAGGTGCCACATCTACATGTTATAGCAGTCCTATATACAAAATTTAAACGTTCTGAGGCTACTCGTTTTTGAGTTATGCGAGATACGTACGTACGTACATACGTTCGTACAGACGCCACGAAAAATTCTCCTCAGAATTCATTTTAAAGCAGTTTTATAATTTTTTTGGAGGAAACGAGTCTTTTATTCTGTCCTTACGTACAGATATCACGCGAAAACACCGTTCAATTGCATTCGATAGCGGTCAAAATGGATATTTTCGTTGAAATATGCTGTCTGAAAGTTTTCGCGATTACAATACTTCCTTTTTACTTCGTACAAGGAAGTAAAAATGATACATCAACAGTACAATACATCAATACATAACGTAATCATACATAGACTGTACTAAAAAAAGTATAACACATAAAAGGTAAAAATACAGTCATGTAAATAATAATACTAAAAGTTCAAAGAAATAATAAAGTGGCGCAAGTCCAAGCTTCGAAGCTCCTAAGCTTCTAACAAGATTGTTATCGTATTAACGTATGATGTTCAGTACAATAATTTAAATATGTAAATGTTATAAGCTGTTAAACTTTGCGTATATAACTAAAGGTTTCCGAAATTTTCATCACTGAATTTATTAACAGTATATTAAAATAAAAGTGTCCGGAAAGCAAATTAAATGCATAAATTTTTTTAAGAAAATACTTAGATTTTAAATGCAGTAAAGAAAATTCCTACATTTATGCATTTATTAAACCGAGATGCTTTTAATAACTGATTGATAAAATTGTATCAGAAAATATTATTAGCTACCCATCTTTTTACATGCGAGTAGTGAATATCTTATAAAAAATTATTTCTGAATGCAAGTAAAGTTGCTATTTATCAAGATAAAAATTCGAAATGCTTTCTTGCATTCTAGCTACTAAATAAAGTAATATGCGAAAAGGTATATTAAAAAAACATAAAAATTTGAAATTTAAAATCGCGTAAAACTCAATTTGAAACTGAAACCTCGTTTAAGTCAAAATTCGATGGATTTCGAATACGACTAACTTGAGCTTCTTCTTTTGAAGGAGTAAAAGCATTCTGTCAAATAAATAGAAGAATAATAAGGCTCTAAATTCTAAGATCCAGAGCTCTTTTAAAGGATTGCAATACCCTCTTCCCTCGTTTTAGTAACACAAAATAAGATTATAATGATTTAATTATAATGATTATAATGAAGAATGGTTATCTCTAAAATTTACATGAGGCCCTATAGTTAAAACTTATGGGCTTAAACTATTTTACTGGTAGAACATCTTAAGCCCCCTTCCTAGCCAAAAAATGTACTGTGTGTTGACCTTTAAACTTTTCTTTTATATTTACATGCACTATGCTTATAGTTTTTGAGTTATTTATCAGGACAGAAATTCACAATCAACGATATCAAAATATTTTATTCTATTGATATTTAAAAGGTGCATGAGTAGTTAACATCATCTCTCACGTTTGCATTTATTGTAATTGTTTTTGAATGTCATAATGCTATCTGGCGGTAAATTCTGGAAATTGCTAACATGTGTCAGCCGCCTTTGAAAAGTTTGGCTTGTCTAAAAAACCAAAAATAGTAAGTTTGCATTTTGATTAATTATAAGTGCGGAAAAAGGATATTAATACAAAATACCTCATTTGCATATTTGTCTTAAGTACTTATACATAAGGTATTGTGTTTCTTAGATTATATCAAATGGTGTGTACAAAATGATTAGCTTTGTTAATTTTATTAACAGTTAAATTTTAAGTTCCTTTCCTGTCAAATTCTTAACTTCAACTTACTACTTCCGGCCAGAACGTAGTTTTGAAATTTGCTGAATATTTAATGAGGAGGAGCGGTATTTAAACCACGAAGTTACTGAGTCAGAGAGAATCAGAGTTTCTGATTTACGCGCGTTTGCCTTTTTGGCCACTCTCTCTTTCAAAGCTGTTATTACGCTCGGCCGTACTCAGGCCCTTGCTACGTAGTAAAATAAGTTAAGAGGCCAATTCAAATTGAACCTTGATAGCTTCGGCTATACTTGTTTTAGTTAATCTTAGTTTTAGTTTAATTCTTAGTCTTTTAAGTTCAAGTCCAAGTGTGGGCTTTGCTTGTACACTCCCAGGCGGAGTTTTGTTAAATCTTATTGGAATAATAAAGGGTTAGTCACCCTTCTATCTTGTTGTTTCTTGTTACCGAACGCAAGCGATTATTCGCTTATCAGTTCTTAGATTCCTCACTTCCAACATTAACTTAGAATTCCAAAGTGAGGTACTCTACAGGCTGATTACGAAAAAGCACGCGATAGAAGACACGTCGTCCATAGAAGATCGTTTACAACACAAAGATACTTTATGCACAGGACTTTGCATGACAATGTTAAACATGAGAAAGTTTACGGAAAGAAAAACGATCAAATAAGACATTTCAATTGGAATGGAATTTATTGTTTTATTTATCATTGTTTTATTACTAGTAAAATCATTACAAATGTCTTAATTTATGTACTTTTCTAGTAAAATTATATATGAAAATTTCCACAAACAGATAGGAAAATTAAAATTAGATGCGATGTTATCTGCTATTCTTATATCTTACTTTAATCAGCATTTCAGCTTCAGCGCTTTCTCCAGGTTCGGATACTCCCAAAGCATCCAAAAGGATTTTATACCTGCATGCAGATAAGTCCATTATTAAAACTTTTTATCGACATATATATTCAGATAACGTTACTTAAATGTGAAATAAATGTGAGAATTCCAAAACTCATATTTTTCACTTTCAACTAGGATTTTAATCCAGAGAAAATACTTGAGAGCAATAAATCTGAAGCCTTTTATTTCTAATTTTACAAATTTTATAGAACATTGTAATATAGCAATAAAAATATTGCAATAAAAGTTATTCATGCTTTTTACAGGAGATCTGAGTTCTTGATCGATTTAAATTATAACCGATCGGGATTTTTCATTCAAATTTCCATTTTATATACTCTTTCTTTCTACTATTCATATTACTTCAATTCAAGAGTTAATTAAAGCTTTTAAGTTTGGTGATAATTATGTAGATTCTCGATTATTAATAAAGCTCTTCGGAAGGCAAAATAATAATAATACGTTTAAAAGGCTGATTTTAATCCTCCAAGGGTTGTAAACACAGAAATTCACGAAGAAGCCTGGGTTTCCAATTTATTCCAAGTATGAAATTCTGCCAGTTTTGGATGTAACCGATTTCTTTCATAACCGGATATTCCACCGTACATTTTCTTTCTCAAATTGCTAAGAGCGTAATTTTCTTTATTCTCATCTCTCTGAGTTCCTGTCGCTCTTAATTATTGATTGTAGGAGAATAGTAGTGGTTAAAAAGGGAATCTAAAATGAATGAATTAAGGCGGTTAGAATAATTAGAATTCATTCTAACCTCCTCGCCGGAATGTATAACAGCCTTGAAAGCCATAACACCTGCTGACCTTGGGGTGATTTTCGCATCTAAAATTCAAAAGCACTGAAAGTTCTCAAGCACCGTCTACGCATTTGAAAAAAAAAAAAATTTGAGTATTACCAGTACCATTGTAACATTCGTGAAGCTCCAGAGTAGCATTCTTAAAATTTCCATCACCAAATCAAATTAATGCATTAAACTTAGTTTTAAATGCAGTTATCTTTAATTTCAACCTAAAATATTTAAAAGTTTTCAATGCATTATGACGTTTTTGTTCAAAATTAACAGTACCATTTTTTTTCTAGATTAAAAAAAAGCATCACAAAATCTGTTACCATAAACATATTTTTAATGCCGTACGATAAACATATTTTTAAATCCCAGGATCTATCTTATGATGAACTCTTATTATTCATAAATATATTCCTTTTCTCATAAAAAATATTTTACATAATTTCTTAAAACAAGTATTTAAGCATATTCAATTAGAAATAGTACATTAAGAAGATTTTTAAGAAAAAGCATAAAGCAACACAGCTGCAGTAATACTATTACAAGAAATTTATCTATTAAAAATAACTCGGCTAACACTAATGTGGTAACTGAAAGTAAAATTAATTCAGTATTTTTCTCTTTTAAAAATGCAGTTGTTATTACTTGGACTGAAGCTTCAAAACTTTATCATCACATTCTTGGAATTTACGTTTTACCATTCGGCGTTCTTCTTCTTCAGTGCGGATCTCTGCGTCAAGTAAATCGTTGCAATTTTTTAATTCTTCAGTTCTATCTTTCATCATCTAAAATAAATAGATTCTAAATTAAATTCTGTGTCCGTGTTTTAAAACAGGTAATAATCTAACACATATTTTATTAAACGTAGTGATGTTTTAAAAGATTAGTTTATAAAATAATGTTGTTTTTTAACATTCTTTTTAGTTTTCTGCCTTAACCTTTCTTACTCAATTTTTTTCATCCGCACCAGATATGTATGATGATTCGGTTAAACGTGTATAAGCTTCTGGGAGAGGTAGTTTGCACAAAAAGACAGATCAAAATCATGTCATATCATTATAGTGACGTTTAAATACAACAGTAATTTATAATTATTTATTTATTTAATTTTAATTTGAAAAACTTGTTTCTTACTATTTACATAAATATGTAAGGAAAATAATAAGGATGTTAATCACTTGGAGCTTAAATAATCAAACTCGATGAAGTATGATTTTTATTGTATATATCAAAGAATGAAAGAACACAGAATATTCTACAGGGGGGAAGGTAGGCCTTTTTCAGTCGATTTTTTTTGGGGGGGGGAACTTTAAAAGTGTTGCCTCAAATATCTTCAATCTAACGAATACGAAACCTTCTAGAAGAAGAACTTAATTACCTTTTACGGTAGAGAAAAAATTATCTTTCCGTAGGAAAGTGGCCATGAACTGAGGCTTATTACCATTTGTGGACATAACGACAAAGCCCGGCAGTGAATAAATTCCTCTAGTCTAGGTGGCAAACTGGGCAGACGGTAATGGCCTTGTAGGTAAAGGTTGAAGAAAGTGAAAAAGTTTGGGTAAGGAAATCAAATACCTCTCGTTTCAATGAGAGAATGATAGCAGAGACGAGCAAGGAAAATGCCGCAGCCTCATAGAAGACGGAGCATTCCCAAAAGGCCCAGTCGAGAAGAGCGTTTTTTTACCATGGATTGCAAATGGAGAAGCAGAATCAAAGTCAATAATACTTTCCGAGGAGAAAGACCTCTGTGGGGAACAGCCAGCTAATAACTTCCGAAGCAGAAACTGAGAGAAAAAGAAATCTTCTCCACTTCATGATTCCAGCCAGCAGTTTTGTGAATCAAATTTACAGTATTATTTTTCTGAACAAAGGACGGATGCCTCACCCTTTAGAACTCTTCCCAAATGACTTCGGACTGAATTTTGCTCCCATTCGAAGGAATACCGAGGGTCGACAAACAAGAGTTCGTCAGCTTCATCGCTTATTTACATCACCTAGAATAGTACCTTGCTGAATTCCTGTACCGCCATCCCTTCGGTCGTGATAATGTGTTCGAGGCATTATTAGCAGCAATTTCTAAACTGTGGCCATCGGAAATTGTCCGCCAAAAATGAATATTTCATTTGCCATTGTATTACGGAATTACTATTATATTACTCTACATTCTACTCATTATATTACTATATATATATGTAAAAGATTAAAATAGCAACGTAAATTTCCCTTCTCTATTCTAAAAATAGTAACCCAGTCTGCACTGCGTCATTTCGTGAAAAATCTATGTCACATTACTTTTACGTAATTCTGGTGATGTAAATTGAACTAAAACTCAAGCAGCCAATAATCATTTTACAGCAATATTAACTATCCAATCAAAATGCTTTGAAAACCAAAACTAACTCAGTCTGACGTGAGATTTCATCCTGAACAATACGCGCTTGCTTTCCACGCTTTGGCCTAGCTACACTGCTGTCTGTCTGCTCTGCTTTCTTGCTACAAAATTATCAAAAATGTAAGCCTTTTGGAACAGGCACATTTAATGTGCCAACTTGTGTGTAGCCGCAACATGTTGCCGAAAATAAAACTGAAGATTTAATCTGCATTCGCCTCCAGTTTCCTAGTCATTCTGGATCAACACTACTTCTGCTCCTGAATTTATTACAACTGAGTCGACAGGATTCGAACCTGTGGCGGGAAACCCCAATGGATTTCAACACTACTTCTGCTCCTGAATTTATTATATATATATGTGATGTATCAGCTTTTGTCCGGAATAAATAGATTTGTGAAGATGTAGTCGTAGCTTTAATAATCAGACGGTAAGTTTAAAAAACAGGATCCATTTATTATTATTCAGGAGAAATAAGAGTTACAAAAATCAGATATCCGGAGTAAATAAAAAGAATTACTAATAACTTTTTATATGAAGTTTACTGCATCGTGACATTTAAGAAAAAAAGCTCCGATATTCCTTTTGCGAGTCTTTTTATAGCCTCTGGAAAGGCGGAGCTTCCAAGAAATGACGTCAGCCTCGTCAGCCAATCCAGTTCGCTTTAAATATCTCGAGAACATTCTAAAACTGTATGTGTAGAAAAGGCGGGAAAAACAACTTGACTACGGGGCTGTGGATTTAATTCCATGTACTTTCAAATAAGAGAACGTCGCTATTAAAAATGAAAAGAACACACAGTTAGAATTTAAGTTATTCTTGACTATGGAATTCTATTATTACATATATATATTTATTATTTTATTTATATTACTACATTACTGTAGAAATTGGATGGGGACGGAGTGCAGCGGTAAATAACGCGCCATAGCCTAAACGCGGTTAAAACTAGTCTAGCTATGGGACTGCTATAAATAAAAGTATCAAAACTAATTAGTAACATATTTTCCATCTACAAAAACCATTTATTCAAACTAGTTCAATATAATTTTTCTCACTATAAATTAAGTATTCTGAAAGGAAGCAATAAGTGAATTGCAAATGCTTCATTCACTTTTGAGAACTTACTATTTCGAACTCAGTTTTGCTCTTCTTGAGGGAAACAACAGACTTATTTCTATCATTTAATAACTTCTGATATCTTTTCATCTGAAATTTTATCAGACATTCTTGGACAAGCAATTCCTTTTAAAAGAAAAGAGCAATAATCTTATTATTCCGGCATTATAAGATGAATTAAAAATCAGTAAATTATTTAAAAGAGATTACATATTTAGGCAAAATATTAACAGCATTAAAACAGCATAAGGATGAGTAATAATTTACAGCACACATTTTAGGAGTGCTCTATATATAATAAAGAAATCTTAAAAGAGTATCTTTATATTAGAATACAAAAATATATTTCATATATTTAACAGTTTAACTATGAAATACAAGTTATTACCAAAAAGACTTGAAGAAATAATTAGATTTCTCTCTCTCTCTCTCTCTCTCACGCGATTGATTTAAAAAGTTTATTTTATTTTTATATCTAAGAATCTGACTTTTCTTTTAAATGCAGAAATAATTTTACAAGTTAAAATTTTAAATAATAGAAATTACTTTAAAACCTCAGTGCCAGTCAATACATAGCAGTTCTCCTTGATATAAAAGTATTTACAATTCAACAATAAAACTAACAACAAGAAGGAAAAGTCATCAAATTACGAATATAAGAAAGAAATGATTTGTGGTTAATATGCAATAATGATCATATTTTCGAGTGGTGCATCACCAATTCATGTCATGAGAAAGGAGTTTCAAAATTATAAATTGTTTATGGTGAAAAACTTTGTGATCACAATCTGCGACCAAAGAATGAAGAAAGATCTGTTATATGATTGCTCATTATCAACGTAAGGGCTTAAAGCATGTCTGATATACCTGAGAAATGTCTTAAAATGTGTGGTTTGAAATCGTTAGCCCTACCTAATAGTGCAAAGATCTCGATGACAGAGAGGAAGTTGGACATGATGAATCTTGTGTGTCAATGGATCATCCTATCAAATGATTGGCAGTAACTCAATCTTGTGTGACTTTGACTGAAATCTAAGATTGCTTGTTGCGTTTAGAACCTTTCGACAGTATCTTCGTAAACTATTAGGTTATGCTTATATACTAAATTTCAAGCTAGAAACGTCTTGCTGTCAGTATTCCATTATGCCTATGTCAATGCACTGGATTGGCAACCTAGTGAAAAGCGTTGCAACAATGTAGCCTTTTGAATGGAGAAATATCTTACTCGGTTACGAATGATGCTTTGGAGGCAAAGGTGTTCGACGAGGGACAAAGAGATGATGACACCACTGCTGTGATTAGGCTGGTGTAAAGGAAATATAGAATGTCCTAACTCAAAGTACTATGGCGTGGAAACATAATAATACGCATGGATTTAGTTTCCACCCCACAGACACTAAAAACTCGACGATAAGTTGATTTGGTTGCAGAGTCAACGTTATAGTCTTCTTACAAAGTGTTACTGACACTACAATTGCAAACTTCACATTATTATTGCTGCTGCAACCAGCATATGTGGGTTTGATGAGCTATCGTGATTTACTGTATCTTCAACTCTATCACCCGTCTAGAATGCAATCAGTCAACATCTGCAAAGGGAGCAGCAAACAAGAGATTTTGTATTTTGAATGCCTAAATTCGCAGAGTGGCGTAATATTCCTTCAGCAATCATTATTAATTGTTTGCCAAGACATATAACAGACATATATTTCTAAAAATGATATTTATACTGCCAAATCTTAAATACCTGCATATTTTTTATCCTTTGCATGTGTAAATCCCATCTCCTAGTGTCTCGATTTCGCGTGTGTCTATATCACTTCTTCACGGTGTTGCAGTTCCAAAGTTGAGAATTGTATATTTTTACATCTTTATAAATGTTTGTATTAAATTTTATTATTTTAACATAGCTAAAACTTTATCTACATCTAATTCTTATTTCTCGTGTTAATAGTGCTATAAATGCACTAATACTGCCTTTACATAACCTGTATTTTGAAGCTATGAAAGTAATTTTCACAACAAATGAATAAAAACTAAAATCTCTCATTCTCATTATTTCAAGAATATCACTATGTTAAAAATAAAAAATACGTTGTTTAATAAAATTTATTAGATTACAATTGTGTACAAATATAAATACCTCTTTTCTTGAAATACAACATTTTAGCGTTTTCTGTGAATTTGAGATGTAGAAATCAAGATATTTAATTTTTTCTGTTAACTTGGAATTCTCTCTCTTATTTGTCTCTAGATCTTTGATGGCCACATTTATTTTATCCTAAAAAAATGAATGAATGCAATATAAAACTATTTTGCAACTTATTAAATACATTTTTGAAGATAATGTGCATATATTACCATCATGATTTTTAACTCTTCTGTTAACATGTGTAAAGATTTTTTCTTTTCATCTAAAATAGTTAAAAGGCGAGAACGTTCTATTTCAATCTGACGTTTCTCATCTTCACTTGTTGTTTCTCCAGCCATTTTCTTTACTCTCTGCTTCAGCTTTTCAAGATTTGATTCCTATAATAGAATAAATACAAATTGTTTAATAAATAAAAATGTAAAACTAATAAATCCTATTAAATAAAAACTTTATATTATTTTGGCATCAAAAGCAAAAACTAATTTAAGTTAAATCGTCTTTAAAAAAATTAAATTGAGCCAAATTCTTTTGGATTAAATTCGGGAAATGATGAAGTAATAATCCAGTTCAGTTCAACCTTATTTCTTGAAAATAAATAAATTGGTTCAAATAATAACTATATATTTATTTGTATAACAATGAAAATTTCAGTGATCTAAAATTACAATGAATTTGATTTGTTCCTAAAAGATTATTTTTTTTTATTATGAACTTGATTAAATAGTAAGAGATAAATTTTGTTTTATTATTTGTATTCAATAAAATATTTTAATAACTTATTTGTGTTTAAAGATATTTTTTGTTTTAAATACTAGTATTGTGTATCATAAAAAGAAGTATATGATAAACTGAGTACTAACAATTGCCTCATTACAATCTATATGTCTGTACAAAAGATAAATAGACAATAGAATGTTAAAAACTGCACTGATAAAAACTTTAAGATTGCTGCAAAACACACAGAACTGTCTATTTAGAAAACTTCACGGAGATCTAAATGAAATACTTTTATCAAGGACAAAAGGAAGAGATGTTCAAGAAACTAATGAGAAAACCTGAAGGGCCAAATCCAGTCATCATCTTCGTATACCGCGATTCGAAACCCAGCAAGAATTATCAGTGTTCCATCGCTTGACGCAATTTATCATAAATAAAAACGTATATATAAAAGTAGAATAATCCCACCATCTGTCAAGTGGTAAGACTGCTGAACAGTGTTTGACGCAGGTTCAAATCTTGAGGATTGGGCTAGTTGCATGGATTTTTGTGACTTCGTCCAAGTATAACGAATCAACTTGATAAAAGTACTCTTTCAAGTTGAAAGCGCTTCGTGAAGCTATCTGATAGGCAGATAGTCCTAGCGTGCTCTGTCATAATTCAAATAATCCAGTCGAGTTCAACCTTAAGACATTTCCACCAACAATAAAATGTAACTAAACTAACTAATAAAAGTATAAACACTGATAAGAATGTGAAAGAAACAAAGCATAGGTGATAAGTATCATCGGGGTGAAAACAGGCATGAGAGACTCAAAACGTAAAGAAACAATAAAATCTGAAAGAATTTATTCAGCGAGAATAGAATCTGCAAGTAACTGTTACTTCTCGTTTATTTCCATCCTTACTTGTTATTTCTTGATTTATTCTATCTATCTACCTCTGTAAGAGACTGGATAATTTAAATCATTTTTATTTAGGTGATATGATTACCTATATGAATATATGTGTGAAATTTTGCCAGTTTCGTAAGTATAATCTGTGGTACATCATTTGTTTTAAACAAGTTAATATTTCATCCAAAATTACAGTTTTCTATCATATGAAACCAAAAACATAAATTTCATACTTACTATCTCATACATATCACTTTCTTGTTTAGTCCTCACTCTATCTAAGGCATTTATTTTGGAATTTAAATTTCTTACTTCAGCTTGCAAATTCTAAAATAGAAAATTAACGCTTTCTTGTAAAATTAAAAACGCAGTCAAATTTTTAAATAATTTACAGTTTCCACTTATGTAGTATAGTTTTCAAACTCATTGCAGATATGAATATTTTTAAAAATGTTTCAAAGAAATATGGCTATAACAATTGATTATAGTTCATAGATGAACATTTTAATCCTTAATAACAGATAAGCGGAGTTTCAGTTAATAATAAATATTTTCTGGACAATTACCATTTTAAGGGCTTCATTAACTTTTTTTCCCTTTATGAAGTTTATCAAACGTAATAAACGAAAACATTTTTTAAAAATAATTTTTTTACAATATATTATTTGTACACAGCAAGATGAAATATTTTTACAATTTAAAAAGATAATTTTTTTTAACAATCTATTATCTTGTAAGGATTATGTTAATTTTATTAACAGTTAAATTTTAAGTTAAAGTTACTTTCCTGTCAAATTCTTAACTTCAACTTACTACTTCCGGCCAGAACGTAGTTTTGGAATCTTGCTGAATATTTAATGAGGAGGAGCGGTATATAAACCACGAAGTTACTTAAAGAGGGAGAGAGAATCAGAGTTCCTGATTTACGCGCGTCTGCCTTTTTTGGCCACTCTCTCTCTGAAAGCTGTTATTACGCTCGGCCGTACTCAGGCCCTTGCTAAGCTTTTAGTAGTCAAAGAAGTGAAGGGGCCAACTCGATTTGAATCTTGATAGCTTCGACTATATTTCTTTAGTTAATCTTAGTTTCTTAAAGTTCAAGCCCAAGTGAGGCTTTGTTTGTACAGTCCCAGGCGGAGTTTTGTTAAATCTTATTGGAATAATAAAGGGTTAGTAACCCTTCTATCTTGTTTCTTGTCACCAGTTGAGCGATTTATTCGCTTATCAGTTCTTGAGATTCTTCACTTCCAACATTAACTTAGAATTACAAAGTGAGGAACTCTACAATCTGTATACATCAAGATGAAATGTTTTTAAATATTTTTAAGGATAAAATATTATTTTACAATAAATTAATTGTACAAAACAATATGAAATGTTTTTAAATAGTTTTAAGGATAAAAATCTTTTTTACAATATATTATTTCTACACAGCAAGATGTTTTTTTAGGTGTTCGTGTACATTTACCTTCATATCTGATTCCATGGCTTTTTCTTTTGCTTTCAGATCATTTAGGTCTTGAGCATAAATCAATATTTCTTTCACGATATTCGAGATGTCTTTTTGAATTTTGAGATTTCTGTCATTTTCTCTCTGCAGCAAAACATCCAGTTCCTTAACATAGTGATCAGCATCAAATTTTTCCTTAGATAAATTTTCGATGTCATTTTCAAGTTTCTGATTATTCTGTCTTATTTCTTCCAGTCTACAAATGCATGGTCAGGAATCAGCTAAAAATCTAAACTAATATACAATAAATAATGTGGAAGAATATTAGAGAAACTTTATACCTTTGACATTTTTGATCAAGTTGCTTCTCAAGTTGTTTCAAATTATTTTCTGTGATTTGTTTCTGATAAAGCAAATAGTTTGAAGTATTCCTGATAGTTGACAGCTGAGAAATAAAAATACAGCAGAGGAAAGCACCAAATTAATTATTGAACTATAACTGCAAAACATACTGGGATAAATAATGTCAATTTATAAATAATTAATGTAATAAAAATATTTATTGAAAAATAAATAATTCATTCTTGAGAATGCTTTGATATACACACACTGGCCAATGAATGAGAAACTTTCGAGGTTTTCATTTGAATGCGTGCTAGAGATGAAGTATGCAAAATTTTTTATGACGTAGATTACACGCGGTTAGAATGCTAATATAAGTAAGCTGTAAGAGTGCTTTTTACGATGAATGAAGTAAAATAGGAAAAAGACAGACCTTTCACCATTTGGAAAAGGCCTTATTGTTGGTGCACGTTTAGCAGGGACCTCGATTTCGAGGACAGCAAATCTCACTGCGTTCTTAAAAGCAGCCTTATCAAAGGTTTTCAAAAGTTGGAATCAGAATCCACAGTTCTTCTCTATAAGACGTAACTACGGTTCGAGCACAGTTTTCCAACAGAGTAATCGCCGTAGTCTCTGACGAATTGTACTGCAGAACAGGGACTACTCTGCTTCAACTGACGCAGAACGTCAACCAAGGCTTTACCCAACAGATTTCAGCTCGAACCATGCACAGAGAATTGCAGAGGATAGGCATGCCTAGTCGAGTGCCTGTGAGAAAATTATTCATTTCTGCCCGGCATTCAAGAATTCGTTTGCAGTGGTGTCGAGAAAGAAGACACTGGACATCTGAGGAATGGAAATGGGTAATGGGGTCGGATGAATCACGCTACATCTTATTGTGCACTGATGGAAGACGTCGAATTAGGCGAGAACCCCATGAAGCCATGAATCCCTCTTGCCTTACTCGCACTGTGGAAGGGTGTGGTAGAAGTATCATGATGTGGGGCAAGTTCTGCTGACATGGAAGTGGTACCTTGATGTTCTTCTAAGGTAAACAAACAGCCATGAGATGCATAGATGTACCCTGCAATGTTGCATTTTTCCCTGATAGCGACGGATACTTCATGGACGATAATGCAACTATACATCGAGCCAGAAGTGTTCAAAAGTGGTTCGCTGAGCAGCACTATGACTTCCAACACCTTCCCTAGCCAACGCATAACCTGAATCTTAACCTCATAGAAAATGTGTGGGATGTGGTTGAAAGACGCATCCAACAGCATTCTCCTCTTCCATCTAATTTACAAGATCTAAAAAATCTGCATAGTCAATGCATGGTATTCCCTGGACGTGAATGTTCTCCAGAAGCATGTAGACTCGATGACCAAACGAATCAGACCAGTAATCCATGCAAAAGATGGTCCAGTATAAAATATTGATCTTGTGTTTCTAATTCATTGGCCAGTGTGTGTATTAAAAATTTCAATGAAATAACAAAGATTTTATTAAGCCTGTTTCTTTAGAAGAGTAAAAATTTTCTTTCATCGATATGCAAATACTTTAACACATTACCAACGTTAATGATAACACTATTATCATTTTTTAAGGACTTTTTCTTTCAATTACCATTAGAAAACCTTTTTCTTTTTTATTTAGATACAAATATATATATTATTGCACTAAATTCTAAGACCTCGATGAATATTTTACATTAAAGTATGCTACTAAACTGAAATAAAAAAACTGATATGATGTTTCCTTTTAATGTACTTAAATTAAGAAACACCTTTCAGATTTGTATAAAATTATTAAAAGGTCGATTTTCAAAACTTTGGGAGAAAATACAGATCACTGACTATTGCAAATCGCATGTTAAAAAATTATTCGGTGAGAAAATTTATGTAAATTTTTCTCAGTTTTATATTTTACATTGCTTTATTCATATTCTCATAACTTCAAAATTTATGTTTGCTGTTAATAATAAGAATTTAAAACATTAGTTTAATTTAATATTGGATTCCTTTTTAAGTAATATTATTTTTAAATTTCACCAAAACATGTTATAAATACTATTAATTAAATTATTTGAAATTAATATTGAAATATTTTCAGTCTGTTATAAGTTAGTTAAATATTCAGAATATAAAAATATTCAAATTATAAAATTAAATGTAAAAATAATACCTAAAGATAATAATTTGCTTTAAATTAAGATAGTGAATATATGCTTAAAACTAGAAAATAACATATGTTATTTAAAATATATCAATTTTGAGTTAATTTTTGAATTTAAAAATGAAAAACCAACATTTTAGGAAATTAAAAAAATTTCCTAATACAGTGTCTTATTGTTTTTACATAACATTAAAACTAAGCTTTATAATGAAAATTAAATTAAAAAACTCAGCAGAATATCACCTTAAATAATTTGTTATTTTGAATATATTTCTAATTACAGATATGAAATACATTACTTTTGTAAGCTTTAAAAGAATATTTCAAACAGTGGTTAATAAAAAAAAAATCTGCTGCATTTGCAACCGTATGAATATTACTCATTTTATATAGACGTCATTGTAGACTTCGCTTATAAGTCAGAATATACAAAGAGTTTGATGAGCAAAAAAGCAGTGTCAGTGAAAACCATTCTGGAGAAATCTTTTACCTCAGCTTTTAAGTCTTCCTCACGAGCAAGCATTTCTCTGGCTTCATTGCGTAATTTAGTGGCCAAACTATCTTTTTCTCGTATCTTGCGTTCTAAATCTTCGTTATGAGAACATTCTATGGCCAATAGTTGCATCTGCTCCTTAAGAGTTTGTTTAAGCTGAGTTTGTTCATCTCTCGTCTTAATGATGAACTAGAAGCAGAAAAACTTTATTAGATAAAAATTTTGACAAATAAATAAATTTTAGGCTATATTTCATATAATTTCAGCTTCTCACAAGATTTTATAAATTTTTACAATATAACACAACTGCTTAAAATGCATTGTTGGTTGAAACTTAAAGTTTTAAAAGAATTCAAAAGTGTATAGTAGAATATAAATTTGATACTTAAAAATTGTTCGTGTAAAAAAATTTATAACCTCATTTGGATTCAATTTTTTAATCTATCGCTAAAAAAACTTACATTATGTACTTATTTTACATATCTAAGTTGTCATATATATATTTGCTTCAAAAGACTAAAAGTTAAATTTAATTTTAAATAATTCTCTTGCGCCATTGCTGAAAGGAATGAAATTTGAATTTAACAAATATTCTCCATTTGTAAAAAGCAAATTTAAAGTTAAAAAATTTAAAAGAAATTTAATGCAAACAAATAAATAATTAATTATTGTTGCGAACTAATCTACAATATCATTTAAATTCTGAGAGCATATGTAAATCAAGTGCAAGTATCAAAATCCATGAATAAATATAAAATTCCAAAATTTATTTAATCCTAAAAAAATTATTTATAAAAGTGCGTAAGTGAATGATTGTTGAGCAGGCAGGAGACAGACTTATCAAGGGGAAGTTACCTCCAAACCCAACTCTTCAATTACTCAATTCGTGTTTCGTCATCCATGTAGGCAAGGGTAAAACTTATTTAAATTGATCAAAGCTTTACACTTTACCTTACATTAGTGCCCTTTATTTAAAGTTTGCAGAATACACTACTTAACATCACTTAGTTTGGCAATACATCTCCACTCCCCAAAGACAAATATAGTTGGTAAGTTAAATTAAAACTTACTATTTACTTGCATTTTTAGTATGATTTATATATAATGTCTAGTTTCTTTTTGATTTATATGCATAATTCGTAGGCATTCGTAGGGGAAGTTTCTGTAGGCAAGAGTTTCTAAACTACTTTGGCTTTCTAAAAATTTGGTTTTCTACTCTTATTTATTAATTTTTAATTTTATTCTAGTCTTTTAATTGCTAACTTCTCAAAATTCCACGTATTTAAATTTCTTTTTAGTAATTCACCACATTTGATATTACTTTTACCCTTGCCTACATGATGACGAAACACGAATTGAGTGATTGAAGAGTTAGGTTTGGAGGTAACTTCCCCTTGATAAATCTGTCTCCTGCCTGCTCAACAATCATTCACTTATACATTTTTATAAGTAAATTTTTTAGGATTAAATACATTTTGGAATTTTATATTTATTCATGGGTTTTAATACTTGCACTTGGTTTACATATGCTTTCAGAATTTAAATGATATTTTAGATTAGTTCGCAACAATAATTAATCATTTATTTGTTTGCATTAAATTTCTTTTAAATTTTTTAACTTTAAATTTGCTTTTTACGAATAGAGAATGTTTGTTAAATTCAAATTGTCATATATATATATAATAAATTGAAATTATTTACACAAAGGAAAAATTAAATCCAAAACTCAAATTTTGCGCTGTAAACTTCATTAATCCTGTTACACTATTTATTAAATTCAAAACATAAACTAAACAAATTCAAATATCATATTCAGTTTTGGAATAGGAATTGGCACAAGAAAAAATTCAAATAGCTAATAAAGTGTACGATAGCCACTGTTGCTGACTCATTTGCGAAATCTGAAAAATCCTGATTTTCGACAAGCTAATTAATAGACTCATACTGCCTCTTTTTATTACAGTGCCAAATTAAATTAGGTCATTTAGTTGCCGAATGGAAAAGATCGCTGAATCCTAGTTGTCCATTCCAGATTCTATACATAGCGAATATCTAGCTGCACTGGATATTCGTGGTTTTCCTTACATATAGCTTGAATAAGAGTCAGTTTGTTTCGCCAGTGGTCAGACAGTTAATCAACACTACTACATTGAAGTATTAAAAAGATTTCGCGACAAATTAGGGGGAAAAAGTCCATATAGTTGTGGAGTGATGGATGACTGTTGCACCAGGACAATGCACTCGCTTACACGGTCCTATCTGTAAAACAGCTTCTGACAAGCAAAAACATGACTGTGATGGGGCATCCTCCTTATTCACTTGATTTGGCTTTATGCGATTATTTTTTCTTTTGTAAAGTTAAATCTTACTTAAAGGGAACCTATTTTACTTCAGCTGAAGAGGTCAGGCAAAAACGGAGAATCTCCTGAAGGCCCTTCCGAAAACCTCGTTCCAGAACTGTTACCAGCAATGGTAGCCCCGAATGCAGAACTGTGTAAACGCTCAAGGGAACTGCTTTGAAGGTGATAAGGTCATGAAGAACTGATTCTGCAATTACAATGATTTATTGGACCAGTCTCGTATTTTTTTTTTTTTTTTTTTTTTTTTTTTTTTGTATCAGACCTTGTATAAAAAATGCATAAAAAATGTAAAAATTTCTCATAAGAATTTTAAATTATTGTGGAATTATAATTATAAAAATGAACTGCATATACACTTAAATAAAGATACAAGAATAAAAGTTTGAATACGAGAGATATATGTATAATTTGATTAGAAGTATGAATTACGTACTTCGGATAACTTTTGAATTTCTTCTTTCCGGTGACGAATTTGATTTATGACTTTTTCCCAGTTATTGATCAAGTTGTTTCTCTCGTTATAAGCATTTCGGAACTCCTCTTGTATCCGATCAAGCTCACACTGTAATAATAAAATGAAATCATTCTTTTAAATAAATTCAGGGGGCGCGAAAATAATGACCATTGTGAATAATGATTATAATTTTTTCTACAAACTAATATACTACTTTTAGATAATTCAGCAAAACATTTTCTATAAAAAAACGAGAATATTTATTTCATCCCACGATACATATGTCGTAATAGGCACTGTTTTAAGTATTAGTAATAATGAAATGATCAGACATAAAAGGTTTCTTTTTCAGTTTTTTTTTTTTTTTTTTTTTTTTTTTTTTTTTTTTTTTAATCAGTGACAAAATTAGCAGTTAGAAGCAAAATCGTAAGTTTTAATATCATTGAGAATTTTCAGTTCGTGACAAAATCGTATGCATTAAAAACAGATATTTTTACCGATAATGCGTAAGATCTTTTTATCTGATTTTGATGTTATAAAAATGTGTTATTTTGCAGCAGGCGTATTTTTTTATATCATAAGTGTCATAAACAAAATAAAATGTGTTTCAATACCAGGGCTTAACTTCTAAAATCAGAAGTCTCGAAGCCCTCTGAAAGGTCCTCAGGAAGAAGAGGATAAAATAAATAAAGAAAATTGTAGATGCATTAGCTTATTTCTAAACAGGTGTCATGAAAAATGACCAGTGCCCTCGCCGGGAATCGAACCACGGACCTCTCGAATACGCGCCGAGAGTGCTGACCATTACGCTACGGAGGCATGCTAAGAAGGCGGGAGAAATACCTTATATTCTCCCTCTTTTAAAGGCGACTGGGGATTAGGGGACCCAATCCCCAATTTCTGGTGGTGGAGAATCATCATCCACCACCTTTTAGTTCGGGCGCCACTGTAGGGACATTAGGTTATTTCGAAGCAGCAGTCACGAAAAATGAGCAATTGCCCTCGCCGGGACTCGAACCACTTACCTCTCGAATACTCGCCGAGCGTGCTGACCACTACACCACGAAGGCATGCTAAGAAGGCGGGGAGAAATACCTTATAACTAATAATTAAAATAATTAAATTGAACTTAAAATTCAATAAATATGAAGATATAAATACAAATTCAATAAATTATTAAATCAATTATAAATAGTTTAATAAAGGAAATATGGGACCTCGTCATATACGATTGGATTTACAATTTCAAACAAAAACTGAGAAATACCTCAGCCGGCTTCCGACTGAATTTAGACCCTATATATACAGTACTATATTTAGGGTCTAAACGTTACTAACGAAAACGGACATATGATTTCAATGGGTTAGGTTAGGTTAGGTTATTTAATTACGGCAAAGCCTCGAGGGATATCTGCTTAAGAGGAGGGATGCCTTCGTGGAGGACTTTCTAAGGGAAACTGGCTCGTATACACGTTACACATGAGGAAAACCACGAAAACACTCATGCAGCCAGCCCGTTCGCGGGATTCGAACCTCGGACCGAACTACCAGTGTTCAGCGGCTTTACCGCTCGGCCGCTGGTGGGCCTGATTTCAATGGGATAGGGATCTTTGTTTTCCAGCACACCAGCTTTAAAGCGATTAAAGCGTCACTGATGCAAATAGAGAAAATGCTAGAAACAATATGAGAGTATAAGTGACAATTTTTGTCCCCCATACGATATTTTCCATACATATATATACGTGGTTTCGAATCCCACTTCTGATATAATATGTGGTAATACCTTCTTCAAAAACATCTAAGAAACTATTTGAAAGGACAGCACGTTTAATTACATTTAAAGTATTTACATTTTTAACAAATATGTTTGTTATCAACTGAATTAACTTCTTAATTTAGAAGTCGAACAACAAAAATCAGCGTTATATTTTCAAATTTTCACAAAACTAGTTTCGATGGTTGTACCGAACCATCATCTTCAGCTGCAAAAAAACGAAAAAAACAAATAAATAAATAAATAAAAATAAAAATAAATAAATAAAATTTTAAAAAATTTTTTAAATTAAAAAAAAATTAATTTTTTATTAAAATTTTTTTTTTGCACTTTTGCAGCTGAGGGTGAGATCATCCTTAGCTGCAAAAGCGATAAAAACAATTAAATAAAAAAAAAAAAAATAGATATAATTTTTTTAATTAATTTAATTTTTTTAATTTTATTTAACTTTTATTTTTTTGCGCTTTTGCAACTGAGAATGATGGTTCGGTAATACCATCGAAACTAGTCCTATAAAAATTTGAAAATATAACGCTGATTTTTGTTGTTTGACTTCTAAATTGAATTAATTTCTTCAATACATTTTTATTTACGTCTTTATCGTCGTCGTTCTTTTACTGCATCTTGAGTCCAACTCATCTAATTGCCAACTGACAAAAAGAAAAATAAAACATTAAAAGAATTATACGATGAGCAATCTGTACGCCATCTGGTATTCAACTTGGCACTATATATATATATATATATATATATAAATTAAACAAATTTAAATTCTTAAAACATACTATAAAAGTAAAAAAGTAAAGTTTTGATATACCAATGAAATCAAGTTCAGTAAATTTTAATATTTTCTTTCATCAATTAAGTTTATTTAACTTCCTAAAGAAATTTTTGAGAATTCGGGAAAGGTTTTTTAAGGACTTCATTCAAAAAATTTGGGAAATTTTACTTTAAAACTTTAATTAAACATTTATTTTCTAAGTAATTTTTTGCAATTTTCACACAAAATATTTTCACTAATTTTTAAGAATTTTAAATTTTTCAAAACAGAACCACATTTCACATTACAAACAGTTACATTTTTTTCACATACCACTTCACTTAATTTCCTTCAAGCAAACATACCTCTTGATTGGCAGTTAATTAACTCCCTAAATAATTGATATTACTACCTTTAGGATTTTTAATTTAATTTAATTTAATTAATATTAATATTTAAATTTTTTTTTTTTACTATAACAAAGATAGCAGCTTGACACTCACTTACCTCATAAGCGCCATCTTATAATTTGAAAACACACTTACTCTCTTTACAACACTTTTGCAGACCCCTACACTCATATAGTAGGTAAGTTAGAATTAAAACTACTATTTACTTGCTTTAAGTATTTTTTTTTTTAATTTTTTATGTAGTATCTAAGTATTCTAATATGAAATTATTTTTAAATAATATTTATTTTAAAATTGTGAATAGTTCTTTTGTTTTTAATTTCTTATTGGTTTATATGGATTATGTATAGTTCTTTATAGTTTTTTTATGATATGCATATTCGTGTAGGGGAAGTTTCTGTAGACAAGGATTTCTAAAATCATGGTTTCTAGATTTTTATTTTTATAAAAAATTAATTTTAAAAAATTTATTTTTTAGAAAGTTTAATTCTTGGACTTTACTTGCTTGTTCTCAAGACTTAATTAGTTTTTCCTTTTTGAACTTAATTCTTAAAGTAATACTAAATGTATTTCTAAGGGACCACTTTATTGGAATTACTTTTGGTTTTGACTTTTGCCTGCATGAATGACGAAACACGAATTGATGATTGGAGAGTTAGTTTGGAGGCAACTTTCCCTTGATAAGTCTGTCTCCTGCCTACTCTACGATCATTCACATATCATTTTTAAAAAAATTGTTTAATTTAATTTAATTTATTAAAGTAGGATTATTTCATGGATAGATTTTGCACTTGATTTGCTTATGCTTCTGAATTTAAATGATATTGTAGATTAGTTCGAGAATAAATCTTTACATGTTTGCATATTTTTAATTTTAAATTATTTGGCTTTTCCTTTTTTTTAGAATTTAAATTTGTTTTTTACTTTTATACGTTTTTGTTAAATTTAAATTTGTTTAAATTAATTTCATCTTGCAGCAATGGCGCAAAGAATATTAATTAAATATGTATTTAAATTTAATTTTTTTTAATTAAACTCATTTATCTTAGGAAAAATATAATTAGATATATATATATATGTAGTAAGCCGCCAAAAGTTACCAAGAGATGCGGCTCCAAAGGTTCAACACGTTTTAAAAAAATTCTAATGTGAAAATGAAACCATTAGACATTAAAACATTAAAAAACAGAAACAATAATTTTAAAAAATTAATTGTTAATCTTTAAGCTTGCAGGCCCAGCCCGTTGTTTTGTATTTTTAGGATAATAGCCATTGCTATTATTTCCGTTTTTTTTGATTTTAATTTGGTTTTAGTCTAGATTAGGAAGTTTAGGATGTTTAACTATTTTAACACCTTAATGTGTCATCTGTGCGGCGGTCGGGGATTGGAACGAGAATGGAGATATAAAATTTGCAAGAACTTTGTCTAATTTAAAAAAAATTTTTAGCGAAAAGTTTCATGTCTGTTTCGGCGAAACGCGAATGGGTAGCTGATTCGACGTTCAAATAAATGAAATTTCCTGAAAGCCTGTGGAAAGTCGAATTGGGCTAATTACCATTTTCCGCGACTTTTGATCTGTTCGATTTTAAGTTTACTGTTAATGGTTTGATTTTCATATGTATTAATTTTTTAAAACGTGTTGACTTTGGGCAGCAGTCAGGCGAGCGTACTAAATTTTTTATTTACCATTTGATGATATATTTTGAAGAGGTTTTCTAGACCAAAATGGTTTTTTAAAAATTAAATACGACTTTGCTTGATATATATATATATCTATATATATTTAACGACTTTTCAATATTTAGTTACATAGTTCAAGTCCGCAGGAGCTCTGCAGTGAAAGGTCATTAGCACTGGACGTGGAAGACCAAGGCAATCACTGCTAATACTTTCTTAATAATACTTTCGTAAAAAGCTTTACCCGCTTTCAAAAATTTATTGCATATTTGCAGAATAAGCCTTTGACATGTGGAGGGGGCTTTTCTTTCCTTAAAAGTCCTAACCTCTATCAAAATATATGTTTCCCAGAGAAAGACAGGCATGAATTTGGAAGTTAAATTCGATTTTAGAGGTATATTTATTTTTAAAATAAAACTTGTCTACTGAAACTGTGCTTCACTTATATACAAGAAGGTACTGGAGCCCTTTTTTAACGGCTCCGTTGCGCTCCGGCTGGAATTACGATTTATCTCAGAAACTGAGAAGAACCGGAGGCAGGATCCGGTGGATTCCGGCGCAGTTTAAGCTCTCTTCAATATCCTATAATAATGATTGATTACAAAATTTCTAATTAAATTCATAGTAAAATGTCTAAAGGTCCAAAATTCAACCTTGAAATAAAACCAGTTCAACCAAAGGCTAATACTAATTCAGAAGTCAAACAACAAAAATCAGCGTTATATTTACAAAATTTTCACAGGACTAGTTTCGATGGTTTTACCGAACCACCATCTTCAGCTGCAAAACCGCAAATGAACAAGATAGGAATAATGATTAGATAAGAAGAAAGCCTGGACAAGAATAAGCAAGTGGCGCCATCTGTTGGCGAAACCAGAACTAAATCATAATTTCTCTAAAAGCCGAAGGCAAATTTGGATGGAATTAGGATCGTTAACTAGAACAGAAAAGATTTTTATGAGTGTGAAATGCCTCTAGAAAATCCAGTTCTCCAAGGAAGATGTTTTTTGAATAATTTTAGCAGCAGAAAAATTGAAAGTGTGATTTTCGGACAACAATGTTGAGCAACAGAAGACTTCTGTGTTTCCTTTTTTCTAACATATGCCTCATGTTCTTTGACGCGAAATTTTAAGGCTCTCTTAGTTTGGCCAATGTAAATTAAACCACACTGGCAAGGAATCCTATAAATACCCCAGAATTCATATCCGAAATGGGGTCCTTGAGTATAGAAGTCCGAATTTTATTGATGGGAGAATAAACAACCCGAAAGTTAAATTTCTGCAAAATATGTGCAAACTTTATAGCTAATGATGAAAGAAGGGCATGACAACAGAATTTTTATCTTATCTAATCATATTTCCTATCTTGTTCCATTGCGTTGCAGCTGAAGATGGTGGTCGTAAAACCATCGAACTAGTCTGTGAAAATTTTGTAAATATAACGTGATTTTTGTTATTTGATTCTGAATTAGTTTTCGGCGTGTTTTTGTGTCTTAATCAAAGCTAATAGATTATAAGAATTATAAGAATTCATTAAATTATAAAATGAGTTTCCAAAGACATGAAATATTTTTTCCATATTTTTATTACATTATTTTTTTCATCAAACTTTTTAATTTATGAAAACACACGCACTAAAAATTTTGGGATAAAATATTCATTGAGATAATATCAAAAATATTTAACAGAGAAGCAGTAGATAACACAAAGTATTAAAAACCAATATGTTGAAAGATATTAAGTAAAAATGCATATAGTGTTGGCATAAAAACTGGGAAACGACTAATTTATGAATGTTTAATATTTTTATAATAATAAGAAGAAATATGATCATTTAATTTTTTTTCATACTTGAACAATAAACGCTTCCGTATTTGCTTCATCAAGAGCATTTTTCATTTCATGAGATTCTTTACTCAGTCTTTCAATCAATAAACCAAGCTCCTGTAACACAAAGATTTTATGTTAATTTTTTATTATTATTCGTATTGCACAATAGCATATTAATATATTAAGGTATTAAATGATTACTCCAGAATAAAGATCTATTTTCTTTAAAGTCGATTAATTTTTTTCAGGCCTATGTAAATTGTGTCTATATAAGATAATTATGTGTCATTTGGACATTTATGATTTAAGCTTTATTAACAGTTAGTTTAATGTTAATATCTATATATTCCCAGTCTCGCCACGATACTCATTCAGATTAGAAGTTTATATAATTATGCAACAAATGGCATAGTTTAAAACTAAAATGTAATCTTAACCGGGATATATTTGAGTTCGTTCCGCGATTCTGCCATTTCGGCAAAATGTCAGAATTCGCAAAGAAGGGATCAGAGCAAAAAAAGAAGATTCGCATAGAAGAGATTAGAAGTTATTAGTGTGATTAGAAGTCATTTGCAAAGAAGTGATTAGAGCTACTGAAGGTTTGACGGAGATCGATAATCAGCATTTTTCCCATTTTAATCCAAAATGTTTGTGTTCTAGATCTGCCTAGGATTTGCTGGCATAATCACTTTTCAATCTTAGCATACCTGCAAGCAATTTATGATTGTAAATTGACTAGAAATTTTATATTTTCTTTTCATTTTAGTCGCACATAAGTTCATGATTCATACAGTTTGCGTTAGATTTTACCTTTGGGTCTTATCTTGTAGATTAGTAGATAAGCAGCACTAGAGAAGATAACTCGCCAACCATTGAACAACTTCTGTGGATAGCCGTTAGGTGTTGAAGAGAAGCAGTCCAAGCTAGTTTAGGGAATTACTTGTATCAAGCATAGGAAATTACTTGTATCAATTCACATTTATTAATATAAAAATCTGCCTCTTTAAAACCTTTTTTGGATATTTATTTATTAATATATTTGAAGATAAAGAAGTCTGTATTTTTAAGAAAGTGTATTCTCTGTACTACAGCTGTTAAATTTGTTTACTTATACAGCACATAATGAATAATGCAGTTATATGTTGTTATTGTTGATGATATTATCAGATACAGAAGGCTGAATGTCAAAAGACTGTTTTCAATTATTATAAGGGTAGAAAATCTCTTTCGATAAGACAATGGAAATTCTTAATTGATTGTGATGTTAATTTTTGAAACACATATTTGATTTTTACAGTAAAATGAAATTTGGAAAAGAAATTGTGTATAGGTTGTATAAAAAGAAAAGACACTAATATGAGTTCGTTAAAATGTGCATTAAATGATATGAAATCAAGACTACTGTTCGAAGTTCTATAGAAACGATGTACGTAAAACTATTGAATACTGGTAGTTTGTTCTAGATTTGACTTTGGATGCAAAAAGAACTGGTTGCTTATTTTTCATGGTTTTCCATATGACTAACATACGTGAAAAACTGCTTTACTTAGAGTCTTCCACAAGGATGGTTTGTCTCTACAAAGATAGATCATGAGTGCTGTTTCACAATATTTAAATTTTTTGATTACTTCCTTCTTCTAAATGACAAGCATTTAGAGATATTTTGTTAATTCGAAGCAAGAGAGATGAAAAATTAGCAATGCCATTGCTGGGACTCGAACCAAGGACCTCTCGGAATGCGCGCCGAGTGTGATGACCATTACACCACGAAGGCATGCCAAGAAGACGTAAGAAATACTTTATAAACATTGAGACTGAGAGCATATTGAGAGTCTTTCGCTCCAGAAAAATGTTAATATAAATTTCTCATTCATTTCCTTATTATGATAAGGATGAAGGACAATTTTTAAAATACAACAATACTTCGCATAGTGCAGCTATCATTTCGGATTGCATATTTCACAAGTGCACATCTGTGTAGCCACCGAGGGAGTGGCTTCTAGGATGGACCAATGAGCATCCAGTAATATTTCTGTCATGTCACATGACCTTTCGCGTGCTTGAGATTAAGCAAGATGGTTGAAAATAATCTGCCACGCAATTTTCTGTAAAAATAATCAAAGGATCGTCGATTGCTTCTGAAAGTTCATTGCGAAGTTAGATCAAATATAGGCAATTATGAAGATTCATACCTAGTTGAAATAAATACAAACAATGTTGGATACTTCGCAAAAATATCGATGTGAAAATATTATTAATAAGTGGTTAAATAAGATAAAGAAAGAAATAGGTGATAAACGTTGAGCCCAATGCAATCTTTACATAAAACTATGCGTTGAGAAAAATATTTTCACCAGTCATATATGTAAATAGAAGTCAGCATTTTATGCAGTCTATACGAAAAAGATGTTCTATACTAATAAAACAATGCAGAATTTAGCCAAAGTGAAATTACTAATTGCATTCGTATACATTTTAGTGTGTTAAATTTCACATTTAAAACTGCTCACTCTTAAGTGAATGTCTATACAAGAAATACTCGTCAAGCAGAATGAATTTATCGTATTCACAACGATATTCAATTTATCACATATAACTTTTAATTTTAAAAAAGGATATAATCAGATCATACGTGTTCTGATCTTACACTTTTAAAAATCAAAAAGAATGCACTGATATAAGAAAAACATAGATTCATTGTAACACTTTCAGTCATTCTCATCTCAATTAAAAATATACACTTGAATTCTTAATCCACATAAATATGCCATTATCATCAATCAAAATATTAATGCTGATAAAAATCTCGAAAGGAAATGTCAGCGATAATTAAACTCAGAAAACGAAGCACTACAAGATCTCTACTTTAGGCCATATATTTGTAATGCCAAAACAAATGCAAATAAAACGTAAACAACATACTCTCACATGCACGAAGATTTAGCGTCACAAGAGCAATAGCAGCTCATTGGTCCATTTCCGAAACCCCTCCCTCAGTGCCTGCGCAGATGTGCACTTGTGAAATATGCTTCCGAATTCACTATGGATTGGTTTGGAAATATCAAAACAAAATAAATTTTAATTAATAAAAATAAAAATAAATTACAGAAACTTAGTATATAAAAATATTTTTTGTATGCAGTCATCTCCTCCGTTTATACTGTTGAATCTGTTTTTGTGCAGTTTATTTTTCATGCCGTTTTAAAGTTGTGCAATGATACATATTTTATTTACCCTCCTAAGTTTCCTTAGGAACAGACTTGGCTTGGACAGCTAATTGCACTCACTGAGTAGGAATGTTCCACAGAGATAGTAATACCACCATCCTTCCTCGTGGTTCCTACCAGCGAATCAAGGCGTTATTTATGGATGAATGGAACAAGGCAGCATTTACAGCCTGGTTGAGTCACATTTATGTGCAAGCCATAAAAGCTACGATGGAAGAAAATTCGCCTACTTTACATGAATTTTGGAAGAGCTGCAACAGAAATGTTGTCAAAAATGTAGGCAAAACATGGTATGACGTATACGCAGCTATATGAGAGTAGTATGAAAACGTATATGTTGTACGAATGATTTTATTAGTTTTGAAACTTATTTTTCTAATGTGCTAAATCACTAATAACGTAAAGGAAGTTGAACGGCAATGAGATTCTGTCAACCAACCTATCTGAGTACAGAAATTTGCACAAACTTGATAACGCAGCACTTGTTAACATACAGTGGTAGTGATAGTAGTGGGTTTCTTGGCACAAAATCTCAATGGTTATATGCCCCGGAACACATGTCTTGTTAACATACAGAACAACTAACTTAAGAACAATGGAAGGACAACTTAGCCAACAACAACTACGTGAGCGCTTGTAGAGAATTAGCAGTTGAAAAGCTATCAAAAGTTATTGAAATGGTTAAAATCTTGTCTGAGCGTATGGTGAAAGCTGATCTCAGCAATGAATGTAGCTTTAGGATTCGCCGAACAATAAAAAGTGTGACTCATTTCTGCAAAGAAATGTATGAAGAAAAAAGCGTAAAGAAGAAAAGTGTGTTATCATCGATATTGGATATTTTAGAAAATAGATAATAAGTTATAAAAATATTCATTTTTTAAAATTATTACTAATGCAAATGTTTGAATTTATTATTTGTATTTTATTTATTGAAAATAAAGGAGAAGTTTTTTTTTTTGGAGGGGAGGGGAGAATAAATTATAATTTTTTTTAAAGGGGATGTGTATTTATTTTCCCTATTAGTACGGGATACTCGTGGAACCGATTCCCCGGACTATTGCGAGGTATTGCTGTTTTTTCTGTGAAAGCTTAAACTAAAAATTAAACTTTAATAAAAGAAAATTTGAAAAGTGGAAACATTTAAAATCTACAAATGAATCAGAAAAAAGTTTTGGAAATCTGTCCGTCTATATTTTGTCTAGAACCCATGGGCTTCATGACATGAAATTTAGGTACAATTTCTTAAAGCTCATTTCATAAAACATTTAAACTTTATAGAGATAAGCAGATTTCCATTTCTACTGCAGCAAACGTTACTTTTAACAAGGTATTATTAATATCAATGAAGTACCAACCTCAATAACAGAATTTCATAATTAAATACAATTACTTACTATCACTCAACATTTTAAGAGAATTGAAAAAAGAAAAAAAAAATTTGATAATATAAAAAGATAATAAAAAAAATTATAAAAATAATAAAAAGATAATATATAAAAAAAAAAAATCTGAAATGTTTCAGATTTTAAATTACGTCCAAAGGGGCGTTTTTTAACATTTTGTGTGTTACCTTCTTTATTAAATATCATGTTCCTCGCACTAAACCATAAGATCCAGTGCAACAGCAATATCGCAAAATAGTTTTAAAACGAGCATATCTTTAGAATTTCCGATACAGAGACTCACGCGCTGGAGATAAAAATGTTTTTTCTGCACACACGTTGCCATTGCTCGCTTTGAAATCCTTGAGTTTGTTAATCAAAAATTCGTCAAAGTTTTAAAAAATAGGAATCGATCATAAAACAAATTTCAAATTTCAAATTTGGTCTTCCACATGCTCATATTCGTTGGAGGATTACGTTATTCAAATTCGATGACTCTATGTACCGTTGTTTTATTCACAATACGAGAAATATACATACATTTATGCAGATTTTCTTCATTTAATTTCTTCAAATATAATGCAGGACTCTAACATTTTATGGCAACAGTTTGAAAAGTGAACCGACATTTATCCGTCCGACCAAAATGCCAAACGAAACTAATAGTCCTTAGGGATTCAAATCCTTGGACTAATAAATAAAAGATAATAAAAAGAATTATTATTATTAATAAAAGATTTATTATATATTAATAAAGATAATAAAAAGAAATATAAAAAGTTCTTTGGATTAATATTGATCAATATGGAATGAACTAACACTTATTTTGCTGTCATCTTCACTAGTATATTTTAAAAGTGCCATGTTGTCTTTTTCCATTTGTGCAGACTTTTCAAGGTAATGCAACAAAGCCTCTTCATCCATCTGTGTCGCTAATTTCAGTTTTTCACTTTTTTCAGTTTGTTCAGCAATAGCTGCCTAAAAATTTGAAAGAAATATTTACTCAATGCGCAGTATAGTATGTTATTTAAAGGTTTATATAGCAACAATGTTCTCAAATTGCAGAAATTTAAAAACATCTTTTAGACTTAATAACACTGAGCGGAAGGAAAGCTGTTTCTTTTTGACACATTTAATATCTTCACATTAGCTTTTGTTAAAGAAAATACAAAGCTGAGAAACAACAGTTCATTTTGTGATATAAATTGTGATTAAAATAAATACTGAATTTTTTAATAAATTAGGCAAGAATGACTAATCTAACGTAAAATATATAAATGAATATGGTGAATACACAGAATAAAAATCATTTTTAGTAAAAGTAAAATAATACAAATTATTTCTTTAAAATAACATTTTAATATAAATTTTCACAATTGAATTCATTTCAAAGTAAATTCAATATATATGCAAAATTTAAACAATTCAAATATGATATAACAGGAATCACTTTTCAGCAGATCGTAAATTGTATTTTTAAAATAAAATCTGCATGTTAGGAAGTTTGTACTTTCATGAAAAAAGTCAACTATTGAAAAATCTTTAAATACATAAAAAAGTAATGTTGTTTGAATTCCTAAAATTTTAGAGATTTGACATCATTATTTATATTAGTTTACAAAGATATCTGAATAAAAGGCATTTAGGATGCACCTTATTCAAAAATCAGTAATCAGAGTGATGTTTCGATTCAGCTCTAACACTGTACATCTACCTATTTTAATATAATTATTTTGTAGCCAATTTGATATTAATATTGTAACGAAAAACCCAGCTGCGGTAAGATAGCTTTCCCGCAAAGCGGGATTAGGGTTGCCAGAGAGTGGCAAGGAAAGGCAAGGCTGCAAGATTTGGGGCGAAATCGTACATTCGGTGACAAATTTGGCGATACGCCTCAGACGGAACAAGAGCATTCTACTAGAATGAATTCTTACCGGTTTTCCCGAGAGTCAAATGCTATAAACACCTTGACTGTAAGCGGCGTAGCAGTGTATTTTGAGAGTATTTTGTGTAGTGAAGAGAGTATCTAGAGTATCTTGAGAGTATTTTGAGTAGTGAAGAGAATATCTATGTTGAGTTTAGCAGTAGTGCTTTGAGTTCAGAGATTAGATGGAGAGCGATCGACCAAGTCGGGAGCTATGTATTTTAGTGCTTTGCCGTGAAGCTGTCTTCACCGTTATAGCCTGATAGACTCAAGGCTGTGTTACTGATTGTTTCAGGATGTTTGTCGTAGTTTTACGACGACTGTAACGTGTTTTTGGAACTGTCCTGTGTAATACTGACGAATAAATTATGTTTTCATTCTTCATCAAGCATTGTCGTCAATCGCTTCAAATCCGAGAACTAGTAAAACGCAGCAATATTATAGATTAAAAACTGATTAAATCTTTATTTAAAACTTCAAAACTGTATTAAAGCAAATAACTTTTTATTCTTTTTCGTATTATAACAACAACAAAATATTTCAGCTGATTATTTTTTATTAATTTTTTTAACCTTACTCTTGTTAATAGAAAAAAGGTGAACCTTTTATGATGCGAGAATTAACAAACTGTAGGTAAATATAATTTAGTTAATCTTTATATTTATAAACGATTTTGAGATTATTCTGTAATGCATTTCAAAAGAAACATAAAGAAGTAGATTGATCTTTCAATTTAAAGACAAGTCTTATATTTACAAATTACAATTTTATAATGTGCTTCAATTAAGAAAACTCAAAGTAAAAATGAAACAGCTTGAAATAAATTGCTTAAATGTTTTGTGAGGTTAGTCGCGCTCTTCTTTATTCAGTTTGTAACTAAGAACAGATCAATCAGACATTATTTCAAGAGTTCAGTATTATGAACTAATATCCCAAAATGAATTTTTTGGATATTATGAACTAATATCCAAAAAAAGATATTATGAACTAATATCTTTTTCAGATCGTCATTTTCTTTGCACTATTAAATCATTTTTTTACTTATACAGTAAGACCCCGCTTAACGCGGGGGATACGTTCCATCGAAGTAGACCGTAATGCGAAACAGCGCTAAGCGAAGCTGTCTTAGCATGTAAATAATGGGGTTAGGGGAAGACGATAAAAAATGGTTAGGCATTAATTAAATTTAATAATGTTTTTTTAATAAAAATAAACAAAATTATTTCTTACAAGTAACAAAATATAACGCATATACTTAAAACACAAAAAAATTCTCAGCAGATATTCAGTCTTCTGGGTTCAATTTTCTGCCTTTTTGTCAAGAAGGCATTATGATAGATTGGCTTAATGGCATATTGCGTTCAATTTCGTGTCAACATATAGACAGTCGTTTTTCCATTTCCTCTATAATGTTTATTTCTAGAACGGGTAATTCTAGTGAGGCTGACGTAGTGCAGTGCCGATGACAGTATTTTTTTTTTTATCTTAAGAATTGTCCTTATTGTTGAAGTTGCCAAAATCAATGCCGAACTAATTGAGATTGACGTTTCACCAGAATCTATCTTCTAATCACTGGCATTTGAGTCCAGTGAAATGCTTTTTTGGTTGCTTTCTTTTTTTTTTATTATCACCCATGATAAAAACTAAAGATCATAATATTTGTCACTGAATAATCGTTATAGTATTATACAAATTTAAACTTTACAAATGTCAACAAATGTTTCAAAGATAAAAATGCGTCCACCAAGCAAAACACAAATACACTGTTTCGGAATGATTTGGAAACCTAGCGCTGCGCACAATTTCGGAGAATCCCGGGTTGAAATAACAGAGCGCTAAACCGAAACAGCGCTAAACGAAACAGCGTTAAGCGGGGTCTTACTGTATATTTTATTGCATAATTATTTGTTCCATTTTTTGTCATTTTCAGTAGGTCACATAGAAAGACAATAACAGAGGCTTCAGGAGTCAATCAAATGAAGATTGTTAAATAGAGTATAGTAAACTGTACTCAAGGGTTAATTTCTAAAATCAAAAGTGTCGGAGCCCTTTAGAAAGCCGTTAGGAAGGAGAAAAAATAAATAAAATAAAGAATAATTAAAATAATTACATTGAAATTAAAATTCAATAAATGTAAGGATATAGATAAGAATTTAATAAATTATTAAATTAATTATAAATAGTTAAAAGAAATAACGGACCTCGTCTTATTTGGGGCTCCGATTGGACTTACAATTTCAAACAAAAACTAAAAAATAGTTCAGCTGGCCTCCCTCTGAATTTAGACCCTAAATATACAACATACGATTTCAAAAGGGGGGGAGGACTTCTTTTTCTAGCACAGCAGTGCAAAAAATTAAAACGATTGAAGCATCACTGATGAAAATAATGAGAATGCTAGAAACAATATGAGAATATGGAAAGAAATTTTAATGAAGAATTGTAGTTTCGAAAAAAAAGAAAGTCCAACGCTTTCCAACCCTGCCAATATAATTCTAGCTGTCAAGTAGAATGCTACTGGACAAAAACCTTTTACCCCCAATCCTATACGATGACAACATGCAACCAAATGTAAGATCTGCATAAGTGACAATTTTTGCTCCTATATTTGGTTACATAATTCAAGTCTGCAGGAGGTCTGCAGTAAGAGGTCACTAGCACTGGACTTGGAAGACTAAGGTAATCACTGTTAATACTTACGGGAACAAAACACTTCACCCGTTTTCATAAATTTATTGCACTATCTAGAGAAGAATAAGATGTTTTTTTTTTTTTTTTTTTTTTTTTTTCCTCCTTAAAAGTTCTAACCTCCATCAAAAGTTTTGTTCCCCCAGACAAAGACAGGCATGAATTTGGACGTTAGAATCTTATAATCGATTTTTAGAGGTATATTTATTTTTAAAATAAAATTTTTGAGCTGAAACTGTGCTTTACTTACATAAAAGAACTACTGGTACCCTTTTATTACTTTCATTATTTTTTTACCTTACTTACTACTGGTGCCCTCTGGTGGGTTTCCTCGCAATTCAAGCTCTGACTGTATTTATCATTTGTAATACACTCTAACAGTGGTTCATTTGCAATCATGGAGGTAGGAAGTAAGATGGAGTTGCCCTAAACATGTTTCTCCCGTACCCTGCTCTGAGAGCCCGACGGATCTACGTGGTGACCAAAACATTGGGTCATTACCATTGAGTTCAATGGGATTGACGCATTCGGATGTAAATATTTTGTAATTACGTCGTAAATATACATATAAATGTATATATTTTCTTTTTCTAAACACTTCAGAGTCCTAAGTATATGAAAACAACATATTTTTAAACAACATTCATTCTGAACGGAATTAAATGCTTATAGTTGAATGAAATATTTTCATAAGTTTTCTTTAATACATAGAAAAAGATTAAGGTAATTCGATTTATTCGGTAAGTACAAAAATTCCGATCAAAGTTTATTCTATTATTAATATTTAAATTAGCATATTCTTTTCTATTTATAGAGCTTCTTCCTAAAAACTTTTTTTAAATATGACATGATTTTTGGCTTCTGAGGCATCTTTTAAAATCGAAAAAGGTAATAAATTTATAAATTTTCGGAAATTAGAGAAAACTTACTTTAAATAGTACTTGACTTTATCTGAACATTTTGAAAGGGAATAAAATAAGTTTTTTTTTTTTTTTTTTTTTTTTTTTTTTTTAAGTATTATTAAAACTTGTAACTGAGTTATTATAAAATGTAAGGGAAATAATTCTTTTAATTATCAGATTTCTTTAAACCTTCATTTAAAACAATACATATTCCAAAACTCTTTATTACTTTCTTAAGTGCGCATCTCATAGCATTTGCTTTACAATACCTTTTAACAGATTGCTTTCCAATACGAACATTCTTGCTTAAATAGTTTTATAACCTATTTGTCAACAGGATTTCAATTTATGTTTACAATTCAATATTAAGGTTATTATATATTAGATTATAATCATTATAAATTAGATACATTTAATAATTAGATTTCTTCACAGTACTTTCACAGTTGTTTATAAGTGAATAAATTCTTCATTTCAAATACATTTTGTAAATAATTTAATGAATATTTAGTATTTTGTCAAAGGGCAGATAATGCTTTTTGCAAAATATGCAACAATAATATATGGATGTGAAAAAAATTTGTTATTTAAAAAACATTTTGGCGTTGGGAAAACAAAATAAAAGTAGCGAATACTTATCAAGGGTATCGAAAGAACGTATACAATTTTAAATGTACCGTAAGGTATTTTTCATTCTTTAAGCTGTAGGGTTTATATTTATTTTAACTAACATTTATTTTAATTTTAAACTATCTTTCCTGTCAAGCCTTACTTTCCCCTGGAACTGCCAATGCCAGAATATGTAAATTTTTAGTAGAACGCGCAAGCATTCAAATTATCAGCGGAAGTAGTATTATGATTTAAATAGAAGGAAACGAGTTCGGTGAGAGATTCTTCTTACTTAGCGAGCGCGGAGGTAGTTAGCGAGAATTGAAGAAGAACCCCGCGTTGCGGCCTATGTGCTTGGCGGGAAGTAGTGGTAATCGTTCCAGTGAGCTTCAAGTCTGCTGAATTAGCAGCGGTATTGTAAAACGCGGTGAGTTAGTTTTATTTTAGAGAGCCTCGTAGTTAGAATCTTGTTTTAGTTTCTTTTCAGGTTATTATTTTTATTGACTGCCGAGTTGGCACCGTCTGTAAGCGTCAAGAGAACGCAATTGTAATTTATTACGTTGAATAAAAAGGGACTTAAACCCTTCACAAGGCTCTATCTTTTATACAAGTTTTCACAGTCACCTCTTGGTTGCGTGCAAGTTGGAGGCGCGCAACGTTATAAAGCATACCATTTTTCTTAAAATCTATATTTTTGTAGTTCAACAGCTTAGAATTTTATAAAACAAATTCATAATCAAAATCGCGCTGTTGTTAGTTATCGAAAAATAACCAAGATGTGATTTTTGCGTAAATGTCACTAAACTATACAAATTGCTATTATCCATCACACTATGAATGTTTCTTTCATGCGAAAGTGTCCCTTTTTCGATTTACATGGAACTGTCGTGTGTTGAAATACTATCAGAACTGTGTCAAGCGAGCTTCTGAATGTAAACAAAGAACGCCCCATCTGGTGACCCAAGCTTCAAAGTAGTGCTTCACTTCTAGTGGCGACTGGCCCCTCCTTCCTTTCCTACCTCCATGTTTGCAATATACTTTGATATTTATGTGTTGATTCTGAGTGAAACTATTTCATTAATGGTTAAAAATTAATAGATTTCGAATTACAAATGCACAATAAAGAAATGTTTTTCAAAGTAAAATTCATATGGAAAAAAATAGTTTTTTCCATATGAATTTTACTTTGAAGAAAATTTAAAATGTGGAAAAAAAAAAAAAAAAAAAAAAAAAACCACTTTTGTCGTTTGCGACATAATTTGTATTTTACATATTAGAATTTTCAGAGTACTTAGAACGTTCCTAATCTCTACACTTATTGTTCTGATTATTAAGCAATTCCAAGAGATCATGGTACTATGCTCTGGTAAATTACAAATAATAATGTATTTAAAATATTTTCTAACATAACCAGTGAATTTAATATTATGCTCGATGCAGCAATTTATATCAATACAAGTACCTGTCGTAAGATTCATTGATGCTAATGCATTATGTCAAAACAGATACAAGGGCCCACCAGTGGCTGAGCAGTAAAAATCGCTGAACACTGACTCGCCTGGAATCTAAACCAGGTTCGAACTGGTAGTTCGAACCTGGTTTAGATTCCAGGCGAGTCCTCCACGAAGGCATTCATCGCTTTAGACCTAATGTGCTTTGCTGTAATCAACTGAACCAAACCAAAATAGATATAAAATGCTGCAAACTAAAACAGTTAACTTTTGTTTTTAGCTTTAACAAACAGTTAGGTTGTATTATAATGCTTCTTGCATTGACGGCGCTATTCTGTGGGATTATTAGGAATTGATTGGAAATGATACTTTGGATGGGGTAGAAGACATTAAAGGGATATTTTATATTATACTTTTAGCAGTATATAAGAATTTTATTTCATTCAATTGGTACTTATTAATATTAGTTTTCTCATAATAGAAATGATAGAAGAAGAAAAATAGACAATTCATGTAATATATTTTATGAAAAATTTGGGATATTAGTTCATAATACTGAACTCATTCACTGTATTTCTTTAAGTTAGCTAAAAATGTTAATTATTTGTATGTAACTACCAATATTTCTGTATCAATGTATCAAGTGATTGTTTGTCACTAATTATTTTTCATTAGGTGTAAGATTTTACAATTTGCACTTTCAACCAAGTTTTACTGTAAGATACTTTGACAAATATTTTGGATGATAGACATCATGATTTAATAGTACAAAAATGGTGATCTGAAAAAGATTTGGATCACTGCTTCTCCAGGTTAATATAAATGTAATTTTAGTACTTTACTCTCTTTGAATAATTTAACATTCTTCTATTTAATAAATTAATTTTAAATCTACAAAGAAAGTGAAGTTTAAAAGACATATGCCTAATACGAGATCTAATACGAGATAAAAGAATTTATGTTTAGAATAGTCTTACTTTATAAAGCTTCATACCTTACTTTTTAATACCAACACAACAAATATCTTTCAGTTTCACAAAATAAAAAATACTCACTTTACTTAAGTTACAATATTATATACTAATATTAAAAATTATGTAATATTAGTGCATTCTAATAAATCTACTTATGTTTACCAGAGCTTAATCTACTTTATCAAAGAGAATGTTGAAAATATTTTAGGTGCTAATATTCTTAACTTGATTAAAGTGGAATTTTAAAACATCACTATAAAAATAAGTAATAATAAATTTACTCTAGCATGTAGGTATAAACAAATGATGTAGTGTATATTTTAGGAAATAATATTGATTTTTTCCAACCATAAAGTAATACTGAATCATAAACCATTTAGTTTATTAGAAAAAAATACTGTTTTACTATACAATATCATATTTATCAAGGCAACGCTATGTTTATTATTTGTCTATATGAATTAAAAAATAGTCTACATAAGAAAAATTATAATTACTCTGGATACTTTTCGGTTTTAAGGGCTGGATTCAGAATGGCATGCATGCATGTATGCAAATATGTAAGTGTGTACATACATACATGCATACGTACGTACATTTAAACACATGTACACACATGTACACGTACTTACATCATGAACACATACATCCATATAGAAAGATACTTTACTATTCAGTGAAGACATAAAAAAATTAATTTTATTACATTTCATATACCATTAAAATCCACAAATCAAATTTTTTATATATTCACCCATAACTCATATTCTTATTTTCGTTTTAATTATCTATTGAATTATGTTTTGAAGTTAAATATAAAAAGAGAAAACTGCAGCAAAATTTCAAGGAAATGACTTTTTGGAAAAGTTAAGAACAAATTCCTCTTCTTCCAAAGAAATCTCTACAGGAAAAATTCTAACTTTTTTAAACAGATACCGGTGTAGTGAAGCTAATAGAAGTCAAAAATAAAAGTTCTTTCCCTACTAACACAGCCACCGTGTTAGATGCCAAAATTGACAGACTTTATTGCCAAATTTGAAATGAGTAGCTTTTAACTATTACATAATTATTATATGATGACTAATATTACGAGGAAGTATAAAATAAAATCGTTAGAACTTCAGAAACAGTCAAATTTCACGAATAATAATTCAGGAGAAAATTAAATTCAATTTTATCTTAAATTAGGGGTAAAATGATGGTGACTTGTAGTGTGACATTTATTTAGCGACAATTATAAACTTTATAATTAATGAAATATTGCAGTTTTTTATGTAATATTAAAACCATGGAGACAGGAGCCCATGATCACAAGATCTTCACCTATTGCAGAACATAGACTGCCATGAATTTGTATCTGAATAAGACAATCTGTGTCTCCCAAAATCGGCGTAGTGTTGAAAATCATAAACTTTACAAGCAAGTTAAATTAAAAAAGAAATTTTTGTGCTTAAAATAATTACCTCTCTATTTTTTTGCCTTTCTTGCAAAGAACTGATTTCCCTCTTCATTGCTTTCATTTCTTGTTCGAGACGGCTGCATTCTCTTTCTAATAATTTCTGAGTATGAATTTCCATTTCCAACTCGTGCTCTTTTGATTTAGACAATTGCTGTTAAAAGAAAAACTATTGTAAAAAATGCAATATAACATAATTCGTTGAAAAATATAGCTACCTAGCATTTAATATTCATATATTAGTACATTCCGTTGCAAACTTGCCTGTTTATAACTAAGTGTTTGACATAAGTCGCTTAAATGCTCTCGCATATTCTTGCCTTTGTTTATGTTATTCTCAAGTATTACTTTCAGCTTTTCAATTTCAATCTTTTTTTCCCTCAGCTGTTAAAAAAAAAAAAAAAAAAAAAAAAAAAAAAAAAAAAAAAAAAAGATTAGAAAAGAACAGATATATATACATAATTTGGTCTTGCAGAGCTTTTTAATTTTATACAACAAAATTTTAACTTGTTAGATAAAAGTTCTTACTGTTTCTTCTAGTTTCCTGTTTTCTTCATTTGCAACAGGAAGATCAGGCTTATTTCGCCATATAAGATCGTTACCAGCTAAATCTATAGTATTATCGAACATTTTGAGTAGACACAGATTGCTGCAAAAAATATAGCGGCTTTCTTGAATGATAGTATATTTCCTTATATTTAGGTTTATAAATATTTTACAGTTTGTTGTCATAGTTACGTGAGAAGCTATTGCCAGATTTTGAATAGTAAACAGTATGCAGAGGTAGTATCAATAGTAAAAGGAAAACAAATAGCTCATCACATGATATTCTAATAGCGAATATGATTATTCATTCTTATAATTTAACGTAAAAATGAAATGAAAGGGAAAATGTAAGAAAGGTATTTGCATTTATTTCAAGTTAAATATATTCAAACACATTCTTTGACTTTTTAGTGACTTTTAAAATAAAACATATTTAAAGGTAAAACGAAGGAAAATGTTTAAATTTATTAGTAAAAAATTTCGAAAATTGTTTACGCATTGAAATATACATGTGATATTGATTATTTCATGCAAAAAGACTAGAGCAAAAGAAGTAGCTGTCTAATTTGTCTGTCTGGTCTTTGTGATAATGATAGTTGCCGAGTGTTTATTTTGTGTTTGATGTTATATGCTAAGTTAATGACGTTTTCTTCTTAGATCCTTCTTGCTTTGCATCTAAATAAAAGTGAAATTTCTTTACTGTTATGATCAAACTAAAATCGTGGAATAAATAATCGCATTCGTAAATTTGGCATTTCAGTTAGTCAGTATGCCACCTCGGAGTCGACTACATTCGAAAGGTAAAAAAGATGTTTCTAAGGATGCAAAATATTCTGCAGAAGAAAATGCATCAGATATGTAAGTATAATTTTTTTAAACTGAAAATGAACTAGAACTATTTCATTAGATAAAATTGTTCTTTTTATTATTTTTTTTTCACTTTGTTTTGATGGAAAAGTGAACCAAAATTATTTCGTCTGTTATCCTTGTTTTAATTTTTTTCACATTGTTTTGATAGAAAAATAGTCACAAAAGTAAAATTGAATACGCCGTGGGCACCGTCAGCATACACAGCTTTTAAAGTTCTGTTGTCAGCTCGTTTATGTGCTGCTGTTTGGAGTAATATCTCGGATTGCGATGAAGTCTTCAATTATTGGGAACCCGTGAGTAATTTTATCTGTAAAACTTAGCAGTTATTTTAATAAAAAGAATTTAACTGTGCATTCAGCTTATATTCTTTTTTTTTTTTTTTTTTTTATTAAAATGAAGGCAATGATCTTCCCTCAGTTTTTGTATTCATTATTCCACATTAGAAGTGTCAGTCCAAATGTTGTTTCTGTGACTTATTTAATGTGTGAAATAACGGCATGATTCATTTTCAGTTCTGTATAGCTTTTAATTTAATTATTGCACTCAACAATAAATTAATAAATATCTTCTCGTATGAATGCAGTTGCATGTTTTAATGAGATTATAGAAATAACGGTTGATCTTTACATTATGGTAACTTGGCGTTTTTTTTGGCGAAAATTTGGCGACCAACTCTCCTACAGCAACCCTCTATTTTTTTTTTCCCGCCGCCATTTTGTCTTCACGAAGTAAAGACATGTTTCTTTTCTTTTTATCTACTGAACACTTCTTCCAACAATCTACTAGCCGAATTACACTTATGCTAGAAATTTTATCTAACAAAAGTGCTTAATCATGACAAATATTCACTGCAAAATTGGGAAAAAGTGCAAAATACCATACTCCTTACGCATTTTTCAAAATAACAGATACACATAAACCATGTACGCCGACTTATTTTTACTTAAAAAAACATCCCAGAATTGCACAAAAATGGCATTGCGCACACTCTTCACTATATCCATGTACACTGCTTTTTCTCATAAATTAGAAAAATTTCGCGAAAATACATGACAATTTTCTCAATCTTTAAACCGGTAAAAAGAACATATATGAAATTACCTGATCGCGAAAAAGTATTTACCCTTTCCAAATATGAACATTTCCACGTATAAATACATAAAATATCCAAAAACTTTTACCTCTAAATCATCTATTACATTATACACGTCACCAACGAATTCATACCGCAAGCATTACAAATACTTAGTATCAAATATTTAAATTATTTCCATGCACGTTTACTTCAACTTAAACGTATACCAAATTCCTACAAATATAAAATTCACAAAATAACTATCATTTAATTAAAATATCACTAAACCATGTACACGCCGACTTATTTTTACTTAAAAAAACATCCCAGAATTGCACAAAAATGGCATTGCGCACACTCTTCACTATATCCATGTACACTGCTTTTTCTCATAAATTAGAAAAATTTCACGAAAATACATGACAATTTTCTCAATCTTTAAACCCGTAAAACCCGGTAAAAAAAACATATATGAAATTACCTGATCGTGAAAAGTAATGAACATTTCCACATATAAAATAAATAAAATATCCAAAAACTTTTACCTCTAAATCATCTATTACATTATACACGTCACCAACGAATTCATACCGCAACCATTACAAATACTTAGTGTCAGATATTTAAATTATTTCCATGCACGTTTACTTCAAACTAAAACGTATACCAAATTCCTACAAAACATAAAATTCACAAAATAACTATCATTGAATTAAAATATAATTAAATTCAAAAACAACTACTTAAAATATAAATGAGCACATACATTAAATTAATACATACATAAATACCCATTTCGAATTCACTTTAGTTACGGCCATGGGATCCAAAAATTCACGAACACTGTTTCACACAACACAGAATAAGGCCAATACCAAAAATTTCCAGATTTTTTCCCGATTTGCCCCCTTTTCCGATTAAAGAACCGTAATTCGTCCATTAATATCACATGACATATCCCATGACCTCTCATTTCCCTCACACAAAATAATGCGTAATCGGAACTGAGTACTGCTCACATTATTACCAAAGTGCCAGGTAGTAACCTTTATCGCCTCCAAAATGTCGCTAAACTACCAGTTACCATATTGTAAAGATCAACCGAAATAACTTTACAAGAACTGTAAAACAGCAGTAAATTATATCAGTAATAAAACTGTGCTTTTGGTGTTATGTTGCGTATTATTGATTTATATAAAACACTAATAATTGGCACTTGCAGTTGACTTACTGGCCTTATCTTGTATGTAGTACTTTCATAATCTTAAAATTACTTGAAAAGTGATTAAAGTACATTATTGGATTAGATGCAATCAAACTAAGTAATGTATTAATGCTACATTTTTTATAATGAGTTGTGATCATGAATGAATTCATAATTAAGAATTGTTTATAATTATTTATATATATTTTATTCCTCCTTTCTTTCAGAATAATTTTAAATATGTGATTGCTATAAATCTCAACTATATGTTAGTGAGTTGTAAGTGTAGTTATATGCTTGGTAAGGTAACAAGGTTGAAAAGTAAGAGAAACTGTTTTAGATGACTAAAGTAAAAGCTTTAATATTTTAATAACAATCATACATCAGTATGTGATTGATCTCATCGTAGATTTTTATATAATTAGTATTAATTTTTTTCTATTTGAAGTTATTATAAAATTATTAACCTGGCAGAAGGATTGAGTAGAAATGATGATCATATAGTAAACAAATTCTACTAAATCATGTACATTTCATGTGACTAGACAGTAAAAAATTGCTTTTTAAAAACAACAAAACATAATTTATTAATACACAAATGTGGATTAATAAGAATTAGTTTCATAAATTGCTATCTTGAAAATGATGTTCACACACTGTTGAATGAAATATTGGCATAAAAAGAAGTATAGTTTGTCAATAGTAAACATTTTCCCACATAAATTTATTAAGTTAACTTGAATTTTAACATTGAAGTATATTTGCTGAAAAGAAAGAAGGGGGGACTAAAACAAAGTATAAATTCAACACAGTTTTAAAATTACATTATGCTAATTCTTTGCAAATTATAATTTTATAAGTTTATGTCATGAATTTTAATCTAACAACCACATGCAGATCATTTTGGAAGAGTCTTACAAAGTTATTTAACTTTTTCTATTGCCTTTTAGTTTTCATTACTTTTTAACTGTGCTGAGTCTTCTGTTGATTCGGCAATGTCTTGATGTTTAACAATTTGTAGTGGGTAGATTCTTTGAAATGGTCATAACAGTGTACTCATGCTGTCTTGACACATACAATTCTAACTTTATTGTTGTGCCCTGGGATAAGCTTTATTAGAGTGATAAAACCAAGTCTAGATCAAGCACTCCAACTTCTTCAGCATTATTCAAGAACATATTATGAGTCAAGCAAAGTGAACCAACCACCTGGATTTTTGGAAGTACAAGTTATGATGTGTATCCCACAGTCATAAAGAATTGTTTGCCTTTCTTTGAAATCCAACAAAGCTTTCCCAAGAATTTTTCTTAGTAATTATTTAATAGCACCTGTCTTTGTCTTTCACCTGTGGGATTTTGGCCACTGTTTTGCTGTACATCTTATGAATACTGTAGCAGCATATTTCAGTACTCTTCTGTTATTAGGGACCAGAAATGTATGCATGTATATATGGATGTATGTTTTCATGTATGCATGTATATATGTATGTAATAATAATTTATGGTACTATTCCGTTTTGAGGACCGTAAAAAAAAATTGCAGTGAAAATTATGCGCAAAAGCGCCAAATCTAGCAAACGTGGTCATTTAACAGTGCACCAAATGTAGCATACGCGCTGATGTCAAATTGCATAAGTTTAGATAGTTCTATATTTCTTAAGATTGCCATTGAAATACTAGTTTAGTTTTTAAATCCTTTTTTGATATCCTATGGATTTAACAATTTGGGAAATGCCTATGACGAAAAGCCTGCAATAGAATTTTTTCAAAGAAAAGGCATCATTCATTATAGAAAATTATGTTTGACAACCAACGAGATGAAAATATACTTTAGCGATAACTCGGTAGTGAAATAGGGATGCAGGAGTCCATTCAGTTATGTTTAGCCTTTTTTTTTATATAAATTATAATTATGATCTGATATAGTTATTTACTCTTATGCTTTCATTCAGTTATGTTTAGACTTTTTAATATAAATTATAATAATAAAAAAGTATTATATGAAATTAACCTTTCATCTAAATTAAAACAATAATCTTAGCTAGTTATTTACTATTATACTTCCTTTCTTGCCTTAGGGTTGCCGCAATTACTTTTGGCAGCACTGCCATCAACAATAGTTTGGTGATTTTTTACGACCTTCAAAACGGAATAGTATCTAATTTATTTACTGAAGAAATATTTCGATGAATTTTAGTTCATTCAATATATATGTATGTACATATACATAAACACGTGTGTACACATATATGTACATTCAGAAATATATGCATGTATGCATATGTACGTACACATGTGCATACATGCATATATTTCTGAATCCAGTCATAATAACAAAAGTACCCATATTTCTAGTTGAATGGTGTCATAAAAGCATGCTGACTGAATTTAACCCCAGTGCTCCCATCAAACAATCTACATACCTTTATGTTGATTAAATATGATAAGTCTTTTGTCCACTCCAAACATTCATCTTTCGCATCATTATTCAGATCAGCATCCCAAATTTCCTTTGGCTTCCAGGCAGATTGTAATAAAAGTTCAGGTTATAAATTTACAGAGCTTGCAGATCCTGTGGGAATAAACACATGTTTAAAAATTGACAGTATTTTAGTCACCATTTCATCTTCCTTAAATGCCAAGCTTTCAGGACTGATTTCTGGAATATTAGCTTCCTCCATCTCTACATCACATGCATTCTCAGAAGTCTCGAAACTTACTGATTGAACTTTGCTATCGATTTCTACTAATTTAGCAGCTGCATTCTCACTTCCTTTATCTTCAGGCACTTCAGAATCTGGAACTTTTTTCTCCTTACTTAGTTCTTTATTATTTTTAAATGCCTTATTAATATAGCTTCTATTTTACTTTAAAACAGTTTTTAAAATAAACGTGTTTTGTAGCTTTTAATGTATAATCACCCTAACATCATTTTAAAATCATTGTCAAATTAAATGTCTAATTATCTGTTATTGGATTGGGATTTTAATATTGTACATACAGTGATTTGTAAAG